GGACATTCTGGTCTGTACCTTCTTCACCTGTGTCACCCAGAACCACAGCGACAACTGCTATGTGATGGCGTATTCCGTAACCCATATGGACCATCTACTTATCTGGGATGTAACGGGACCATCTCCCTGGGCACCAATGAACGAATCCTTTGATGTACCAAGCAATGAAAGATACAAACTGTTGAACCACTCATTGCAAATCCTTGCTTTTCAGAATCCAGCAGAGGCTGACAAGTTTGTGTATTCCAATGCTCAGACTGTAATGTATGGTTTTGTTATTCCTGTCCTCAAACTATTAGGGATCCTATCCATTCTGTCTTTTTTCTTTACCCTTTGCAGAGTTCCCTCCATGCGGAATATCACTAATTTCTACTTGACTAATTTGGCAGTTGCAGATTTGATGGTCTTGATTGCAAAGGCCACTCAAGAGCAATGTGAGGCTTTGAAAACACAGAATGAATTTGATGCGTCATGTTTGGGGATCTCAGCCCAAGCATTTCATACTTTCATATCATACACTGGAGATGTGGGTACTATGTCATCTTTAGCCTTTGTAACACTGCTGTCATATGATAGATATTTTGCCATTTGTTACCCTTTCCAACACCGTAATCTCAATCTGAAGCGACGGGCAATTCGAGCAGCAGTCTGCATATGGTTTCTGTCTTTTTCCTTGAATTTGATTGGTTTCGTTTTTCAGTTTCTAGGATTTAATGTACCACCAGTTAAATGTCTTGTTTGGCCAACTGAAGAAAAGTATAAACATTTATCAAGTAATGTGCAGGTGTTTAGGAATACCGATGCAACTTTTGTCACTTTGGATCTGGTTTTATATTGCCTTTTTTTCTGTGTATTCATGTTGAGTTTGATCCTCACGGTCACTTTCAATATGCTCCTTATTAAGGGACTGCATGCACCAAATCCAACTGGTGATCAGATCCGAGGTCCGTCAAAACATCTACGAAGAGTGACTCTGATACTTGGCATCAACACAGCCGTGGTATTTGTCTGTTCTCTGCCCCAAGTTGTAATTGCCCTAGTTAGTATTTTAGTGCAAATCAAGCTAATCGTTCATGTAACTGATGATGTGAGAAAGAAGTTGGATCTGACAACTGCTTGCCTCAGAGTCTTGAACTCTTCCATTAATTCAGTCATATTCAATGCTGGTAGTGGAAGGTACAGGAAAGCCTTTAAGCAAGCCTTCTGCTGCAGAAAGAGGCAGCAAGTACCAACGAACAATATCCCTTTGCAGACATTACCAAGAGCAGGTCCTGCAGATAGAATCAGATCATAGGATCCAAAGGCCAAACTCCCCTCCTAGAGAGAAAAGACAAGAAATAATGTTATCCTCATAGTGCTGCAGCCGAACCCCAAACCGAACTAAAAATAGCCAAACATGGCATTCCGAACCAAACTGAACCAAACCGAAATTGTCGGTTTAGAAGTTTGGGAAATTTACTTTTTTGATAGTGCTAGAAATGCTAACGCTTGCAATGAAAGGGCAAAATTGAAATGCACGAATGATTGAATTCACAGTGTTAACAAGTCACTATATTCATCTTCATTGTTTGGTGGGCTAAACGTGATTTTCCGTCTTCGGTGTGCATAATCGGTACAATGTAGCATTGCTATAGTGTAGACCATGTGTACATAATGCATGCATGTCGCGTGTGGTAAAGTAACATCACTGCGTCCTTTGATAAGCGACCCCCAAAATAGACAGAGCACATTCGTACAGGCAAGAGGGGTTACTGGTGTTACTCACAATGCAGTATTATTGCTAGTATTCGGGAAACCCCTTTTTGATAACACGCGCTCTGGTGGCACATGTTCATGTATTTTGTTACTGCAACCGTAGTGCAAGAAGTCGATGCCAGTACGTGATTTTCTAAATGCTGATTTACACAAAGGATTTCGTTGCACTTTTTGTAGGGGACCAAGAGTAACACACTGAATTGAGTGAAATAGTCACTTTTCAAAAGCTGACTAAAAGCGCGATCCGGCATACGTTTCTATGTACATATGTATGTATATATGATTTTCATTGTACATGTACTTCTGATCCGAACCGATGTTCGAGGAAAAAAATCCGATATGAACCGAACCGAACCGAACCTGGAGGATTAATTTCAGCACTAAATCCTCTCTTCCAAAAGTTTCTTTAACATCCAAAAGCTGCATAGTAATTCATTTATCGTTTAGAAACACAAATGAGAAACACCGGTATTCACTGATGTCAGTTTTGTATTGGGGGAGGCATGGCTTACTTTGTTTTAAAGAAATACCCCAACTCCTTCTACCACTGCATTTTTGATTTCCACAAATCAACAGATTTCCAATGTAAAATAAATTTAGTCTAAACACTCTTTTGATCGTCACATGTCTGTAAATGACACTGTACATAGAACTACCGGCATAGACAGATATTGCTGACTGTTGTTTCCATGTAAATTGAAAAGGAAATGTATTACATTTGTACAAAGATTGTAATGGTATTAAACTTACTGTATCTTCTATGCTGTTATAATGTGTGTTTCCTTTGTCGTTCCATCTGGGGGCTTGTTCTTGTTTTATGCACTCCTTGTTTTCTATGGGTTCCCCCTGAATTAGGCCCCTCAAAAAAGTCTCTGGTTTCTGGTATGCGCGCGCGTCGCCGTAGCCATGCGCGTCGGCAAAATGAAAAAAAAAAATTCAAAGAAAGTTGATGTCTCAAAACCGCCAACCTCACTGGTTTGACTGGAATCCTGCTGCTGCACAATTTTAACGTGTTTTTTTATGGGGTTATGATCGAGAATAAGCTTTATTTGGCCTCTCTGGCACGTCTGGACTCTCATATATTTGCACTAAATTTAGTCGGGCACCATTTTGCAGTCATCAGCTGACACTTGAAGCAAAAAAAAAAAGGTAAGAAAAAAAATAGCAAGCTCCATACCAGAAACCGGAGACTTTTCTTTTTGGCCTTAATTGCATTTGTAATGCCATGAATGCTAGTAATATAATTAGATCTCCGAGAAAGTCTTTCTGTAACATTTTCATTTGTTAAAATATTTATGTTGGCCGGTTTTAAACACTCCACACCAGTTGGACTCTTGATGTTGATATTCGGGTCATTATCAGCCTACAGACTCCAATTGGTCTTATAGTGTTTGTAATACCGATCAAGTACATATTTATTCCCATTCATAAATACCTTTTCGGTCAAAAATGATGTTGATAAAATGTCCAGTAGTGTTGGGTGTATTGGGGAGGGGCTTGCCCAACTACCTCCTCAAGATAGGTACACGTAGGTGAGGGAAAATGAGCATTATTCTGCACAAACCCCACCTTCCCTGGTGTTTAGTCATTCTTAAATGTTACAGGATAAGTGTGAATTGGGAACCATTAAAATATAGGAACCATCATATTTTTGTGGTGTAACTGGGGGGTGTTACTTTCTGTAAATAGCGCCCTCTTTGGTTATTGCACAGAGAAGTTTAATGAGTTGACAGAGCTACGCGTTATGACGAACTGGTTACTACCAACTGAAGTCAATCAACTTTCACATTACGAAAGTGAAGTATTCCTTTCAACTGAAGTCAATCAACTTTCACAATACGAAAGTGAAGCATTCCTTTGGCAGGCCTAGCTGCACTTCCAATAGTTTCCCTTGTTTAGGAGACTTAATACTTTTTAATAGTGAAAGTTTTTTTCAATAATGCTATCAGTTTTCAAAGCAAGTTTTGTGAGAAAATCAACTTCAATGAGCTCCCAACAAAGAAACTTCTGCTTCCTGGTTTAGAAATCAAACGGGACGTCCCCATCATCTTGTGATTCAAATAACCATCATTCAAGGTCTTGATTATTCAAAAAAAATTCATGTAGGCCTTATGCAAAATTCTGATGCCTCGCAGACAAAAACGTTAATCGGGTACCGCAGTACAAAGGTTAACAAAAGGCAAATGGTAAATGTGATTAATTCTTGAGAACTTGGTCACTTGTCACATTTTGTTGGCATGAGTAGCGAGCTAGATGGAAAGTTCCGGTGAAATTGGATAACCATGATTCGGTTTGAAACAAAAATTAGGATAACTAGATTTTGAAATCTCCCAATTCTCCCACCACTTAATGAATTAGGTTTTAATAATTAAAACTGTTGCAAGATTTATAGAATGACTTGAGAGTGGTCCAATCTTCTTTTTCTAGGTACCAAAGTTTTCCTTTCAATGACTTAAAAAAAAAAATATGTTATTTTTTTAAATTTTTTTATTTGGGTGTTTTTTGCACATTTGATTTTCCCCAAAATGGCGGCCAGTAATCATAACATCGTTATGGTACGGTACATGCACACATACAATCATAAAGTAACTGACTGTAGATGGTCGGCCAAAAGTGGTTTATACTGTTGAGAAGACCGCATCACTTATGTTAACAATTGTTGACTGCTGTGATGTGGGATATGATGTTTTGAACGCCCGAGGGGCGCATTCGCCTCGGCTGCTGTGCGCCCTGAGGATGTTATGCACCCCGAGTGTGCTCAAAACGTCATATCCCACATCGAAGCAGTCAATAATTGTTTTGTTATACCTTTGTCTTGGATTCTTTGGATTTTGATGTAAAAATCATGAAAACAAACAGCATTAAGGGGGAGTGTGTGGCCTCGTGGTTAGGGTTCGTGACTCATGATCAGATGGTCCGGGGTTCAAATCCAGCTGCTGGTCATATATTGTGTCCTTGGGCAAGGCACTTCACCCCCACTTGCCCCTCTCCACCCAGGAGTATAAATGGGTACTGGCATTAGCTGGGGAGTGACCTGCGATGGACTTTGTATGACCTTAACACGTGATTGTTCTTGGCCAATGGAAATACGGTGTTCAGGACATAGGTATAACAATGCTTGTTGTTGGTTACCAACAGCAAAAGTTTCAGGTCCATGTACCTTACCAGATTATCAGTCATGACATTTACCAGCAAGAACATCTGTAACTTAATATTTTTTGTGGCCCTAATTTCTCCATCCCCAGAAACCGACTTGGCAACAGGAAGAGATGATGAAGCAAAAGCAGATGGAGGAGCAGCAGTGGCAGGAACAGCAAATGCTGGAACAACAGAGGGAAGAGCGGCAAAAGCAGGAACAGCGCCGGCAGGAGGAAGAGCAGAGAAGACGGGAGGAGCGGAGGAAACGGGAGGACCTTCGAAAACGGGAAGAGGTCCAGCGACAAGCTGAAGCCTACGTGATGAAACTGGAGGAGGATCAGCGCCAGACGGAAGCAGAGGAGCAGGCGAAGAGGCGGCTGCAGCAACTGGCCGCGGCCGAGCTGAAGAGGAAAGAGGAGGAACGCAGGAGGCACGAAGAGAAGATACAGAAGGAGAAAGAACGACAGGAGCGACTACGCTTACAGCGGGAAGAGAAGAAGAGGAAAGAAAACCTGAAGAGGAAGGAAAAGAGAGAGATGCAGAAAAAAAAGGGTGAGACGGTATTCTTATTTTTATTTAATTCTGGTAGTTAAACCAAGGATTCCTCAAAAGTGCCTTAGGCACTGTAGCTCACAAGCCCAAAGAAACCTGTAGAGAGAAGACAATGAGAAGAAATTACAGTTTAAAAGTTGGGAGGAAAACCCCAAATGAATATTGTGGGGAAAACCCAAGGAATCAGACTGGGACTGAAAACCCACTGAATCAGGCAGGGACTGAAAACCCATCCACATTTTTGCCCGGGCGGGATTTGAACCCAAGTCACACAGTGGTGGAAGGCGAGGAAAGTACCGCCATGCCAACCTTGACTATTCAGCGATCACCATTTATACTGAGGGCACCACACTCATGTGCATGTTGCATAAACGGTTCGTAATTGGAGGTGTGCTTGTAATTTGGAAATCTAAAAGGTCGAAGGAATACTGAATGCATGTGTCTGTGCACAAACACGAGAGGGCAATTATTTACCACATTCGAGAGCCCCGTGGACAGGACACACCACGTGCGCGTACTGGATCGCAAATTCCATTATTCCTACAAATGTACCATGAGGGAGACACGTTATCTTAATTTCTGCGACAATAGGGAGACACTGGTCATTAGGGAGACATTTTCATGTCTCCCTAATTCCACAGCCCCCTTTAGAGGCAAAATTTTACTGTCGCAAACATGTTATATTTGTTGCTCGTGGTCTAATTAGTCAAAAAGCCGAAATTCGTGAAAAAAAGGACAAGGGAATATTGGGTTAGGGCACATTTAAGTTTGACAAATTTTGTGCACAAGTCTATGGGAATGTCTCCCAAATGACCCATTCTCGGTAATTATTATTATTATTTTTATCATCATATGAATAGCTTGATTACGGTACCAGCTGCCTATCAGGTTTGAACCAGCCAGCCAGCCCCAGCAAGCTCGGTGGTCGAGTGATACTTGTAAGACCTCTGCTCTAGTAGGCAGGAGGTCATGGGTTCGAGTCCCACCCGACTAGTTTTGTGAATTTTTCTTTGCAATCACTTGGCACTACACTGAGCAAGCAGTATTTATAAAGTACGTCAGTGAAGGGTGAAACCCTGTATTGAATTTACAATCACCTTGATGAAAATACCATCAAATGAATTGTTTTACAGAGGCAGAAGCCAAGCTTAACACTTACCAGAAAGGCTTGCGCCTGCAGGGGCAGGGCAAGCATGACCAGGCCGTTTGTCTCTTCTTGGAGTTCATCGGCAAGGAGTATGAGAACACGGTGATTTACCGCGAAGTCCAGCGCTGCCTGACGGTTCTGCTGGAATCATTGGAACATTGCCAAGGTAACAGAGTTGGGATAAGTTTGCATTTATCCCAAAAGTAACCTACCGAATCATTATCAAAAAGCTTACTTGGATTTGAGACCGTACTGTTATTACACATCCTGTTAAATTGTTCTGTCTAGCTTGCTGTCATGAAGAAATGCGGTATGTTTTACAGGAGTCTGAATAAGACTCTTCCCACAATGAAGGTATCAGATTGTTAACAGTACTTATGACTCCACTGCAAGAATTTGTTCAAAATCTGCAAGTAATACCTGATATAGCATGATACACAGTGGAACATCACAATACCGAACACCGTTATACCGTATATTCGGATATACCGAACATCATTCCTTGGCTCCCAATTTTGCGTAAAAACGTACCGAACATGGTTGTTGAAAAATGTCAACAGAAGAGTGACAAGTGGCTGTTATCTCCCCAAGGAGTAGAAGGGGAAAGCCACCCATTTTTTGCTGAAGGTAGTAAGCTCAAAAACTGTGTAATTACATGAGTCAATAGTCGGCACGTGTTCAAAGTCGTCTTTCAGTAACTACCACGGTGTGCAGGGTGAAGTTCTGAATGGCGCTATTTATTGAAAAGTGAGTACCGGAGCACCAGCAGCTTAAAATTACTATACCAAACGATTGCTATTACGAACAAATTCTGTGGATCCCACAATGTTCATTATAGCGGCGTTTCACTGTGGTATGATATAACCAGACCTTGCATGAGATGTGTCATAACTACTCGTAGACGTCTTCATGCGATCCTGTTCGTAACCCACAGAGATCCCAGACACAGTCAAGTGTGGGGCCCCGCCCACCTTCTGGAACACCACGGTGCAAGAACTGGCCAACCAGAGCAAGTGGTGGAGCCTGTTCCTGCTGCTGGTCGGAGGGAGTTTCAGCGCTAACCGGAACGGCAATGGCGTGGCCCATGGCTGCGATGCCTCTGGGGTGTCCATTGTGACATTCTTGGACCAGTGGGAGAGCATCAAAATGGCCCCAGGACGTCTGACCATGGTGAAAGCCTTGTTAGAAGTGAGTGTTGAACTCTTTTATCAAATTAATGGTAGAACAGAAGCTGGTCTATGCCTCATGCATGTGAGGCGTTCTGGCACTATGAGACGGAACTGGGTACAGGTAAGAGCGAAGAAAATGAAAAAAAAAAGCAGTATCATGAAAATATTACAAAACACTTGGCTAATGTATGTAAAATCAGCTCTTGTAAAGGTTTGTTCCAAAATTGCCAACATGCCTAGGAACAGACCAACTGTTGTTGACGACAGATGATATGTTTTAATTTGTCTAAGTATGAAGCGATATTTGTAAGGCGTTCTAGCTAAATGAGACAGAACTGGGCACAGGCCATAGTTAAGAAAAATGTACACACAAAAAAAAACAAATGGGGATGATTTTGTCTCTTCGATTTTTAGATTGATTGCTATTTGTAATCTTTGATATGTCTACTACACATGATTTAAAGAAACAGTATAAAAGTTGTTGAATTAATGTGTATTTTTTAAGGAAAAACAATTGGCATCTTTCACTTTCTTAAATACAAAACTCGAAAAAAAATTTAGGCCTTTTTGTCAATATGTTACTTAATTTGACATAAAGTAAATGCGAACTTTAAAAGCCGTAACTTGTCAAATTGAATATCCGATTGAAGTGCAGCAAACAGTATTGTCAGGAGAATTGTATTCTCTTTCCTAATACTGGCAAAACCTCATTTGGACCTCTGCCCAGTTCTGTCTCATTTTGCCAGAATTGCTCACATATACCCACTTATCTGGGTTGAAAATAGCAATTGTGGTAAAGTGCCTTGCCAGAGAACACAAAATACCATATTCCTATCAGGATTCAAACTCGTTGCACATGTGTCGGACACTCTTAACATGGGACCACAACGCTCTGAACATTGGACCACAGCACTCCAGATAATTTTTGGTCATTTTTCCCTGCAGAATAAGGCCAAACCCGACGGCCTGCTGAATGACCCCGTGACCCCGTTAGTCCACTGTCTGCGGACGGAGAACTACGAGCTGGCTACTCTGCTCCTGACGTATGGCGCATCGCCCGCACTCCTAATCATTGACCCCGGAGACACTCCACTTCACTCTGCACTCAAGATTGGCTTTAAACAGGATGGTAAGGGACAACTCTTGAAAGCAAAATAGACTTACACTCAATTACCTAGATGTGTATCAATCAAATCTAGTTTTCAACTTGTAGTACAGCAAACTAAGCCCAGCCATATTATTATGGTTTATTTCTGGTAATGAAATCAAGGATTCCTCAAAAGCGCCCCAGGCACTGTAGCTCGCAAGCCTAAAGAAACCTGTTATGAGAGAAGACAATGAGAAAAAATTACAGTTTCAGAGGTGGGAGGAAAAACCCAGAAGAATATTTTGGGGGACAAATTGTAAACTGCATAAAAAGAAAAAATGTTAAGTGTTTTCTTTCAACAAAATGAAAACAATTCACACTTACTTTTTTGGGTCATCTGTGGACAGAACATTAAAACAATGTTTGTGTTCAAAATTCCGCAACTTGAAAACTCTATGAGTGATTTGAATGATTCTTTTACTAAAAGAAAGCTTAATGACTCGGCTTTCATATCCTACATTTTGAAAGTGCTACATGCAAAACGTCTTTCAAAAATAAGTCCTGCCATTTGGTTTTCGGTTTTTTACTCACCCTGTATATCTTTGGTAAAATTTTATTATAAGCTCCGTCCAGAAGTCTCTGGTTATTTTAACGTGCCACATTTTGGCTCTCTTGGTATAGATCGTAAATTTGCCGTGCTGGAGCTTCTCCTGACGAAATACTCCGCGGACCCCACCGGCACCACCTACCTGGACAAGAACGCCCGAGACCGGGCGGGGAACACGCTGTTCCACCTGGCCCTCACGGGGGGCTCCAAGAACCAATCATTTAACGCCATCAAGGTCCTGAGCCAGCACAAGGTCAACCCCTGGCTGCGGGACCATGGAGGCCGGGTACCACTCAGGATGGTGACCAACAAAGACCGGCGCTACATGTTCCTGGCCGAGGCAGCCAAGTACTACGACAGTACCAGTGAACCCGCACAGAGTTCATCCAGAGGTAAATATAATCCACAGACGGAACAAATCTGTGGAAAGCCTGAAATAAAACCTTTCTGGCTTTTAACAAAGTGTTAAGATTTAATAGTAAGAGGCCATTAAAATTTTGATGTTTTTAGATTTGGAATTTTTTTTCAAACTTTTTTTCAAAATTTTTGATGTTTTTAGATTTAGATTTTTTTTTCAAAATTTTTTTGACCCACCCACCCGCCCCAATTTTTGATCTTAAAATATTGACTTTTTAATCAATAAAAACATAACAAATGTCCAGTTCAGTGACGGCAGAATGCTGTATGTATACGGTACCTTTATACCAATGACACGGCCAACCCGTATTTCAGAACCGGTTCTTTTCAGAACCACACATACTCACAAAAGAGATTTTGCCACATGGTGCTACCACAACAACTTATCTTATCAACATTATTCATTTATAACATAACCTTTACTATAACTTTTCTCTTTTTTTTTTGTGGTTGCATAGAGTCTAACCAGAGTGGTTCCGATGGCATCCATGTTTCTGGCGTCCCAGACGATTGGTCCAAGGCAGACAGGGGACCGGGACGGGACGGCCACCACCAGCAAGCAACGGCGAGAACAGCCGAGCACGTGCCCCGCAAGGAGAAGCTGCGGCGCGAAGTAGAGCTGCTACTGAGTGCCATGCCAATATATGTCCCACAGCAAACAGGACTGGACCAAGCAGGAACCACTGTGACAGCGACACTGTCGAGAAGCGGCCCGCGACAAGTTGAGAACAGGGAAGAGGCCTCAAGGAAAGAAAAATTGAGACAGGATGTTGAAGATGAAGGTGAGATAATAGAGAGTCGTCCAAAAAATTGTGGCAGGTATCAATAATCTTTGGGTAGGGTGACTTCAGATGACTTGAGACATATGAGGTCAAAGGTCATCTAGGGGTCAAATGAGGTCATTGTTTTTTGTTATGTAAACTGAAAATTGCTGTCATATGAAAAGTCCGACTTCACTCTCAACCAAACTTTGTGACAATCTTTGGGTAGAGGGACTTAAGATGACTAGAGACATTTGAGATCAAAGGTCATCTAGGGGTCAAATGAGGTAATTGTTGATTTTGGTTCGGTCAACTGAAAAGTGTGCTTACTTATACTAACTGACTGCATAAATCGCAAGTTTTACTTGCAGTATTTTTTTAATTTTGCAATTCGTTTTGCAAATTTGTGATCCTAAATATGTCTAAAATATACTGTGGAAGTTTCAGACTGTAATTTTGGCTCTAGAAATGAATCATTTAAAGATGATTTGAACAGATTTATCAGTTTAACTCAAAATTGGTAACAGGCAATTTTTCTCTGTTTTCACTTTTGTATTGTAACAAATTCCGTATGGGCATAATTTTGCCAAGAAATTAAAGTATCAAAGATATGGTATATTGACATTGATATTATGAACATGCTAGTGCAATGAAATTATAATATGACCCTTCTAAACCAATGAAATTACTTTATCTGAGACATTGGTATCTGTGCACAAGCACCCCCACAATGGTAAGAGTGGGAGAGTTGGGGTAGACCTCTGGGAGAAAACATTCAAACGCTTGCCGACAACACCTGATGCTCATGTGAAGAAGCTGTGGCTTTGTGCACATTCAGACCGAAATGAGTCATGCATACTTTGTGCTATACTCTCGCGAACTAGTATGAATGTATAAACACTGCCTTATGGGGTACCGGAACAATGGGAGGTACCCCACAAGGAATGCCCACCGACTTGCGGGTACCGTTTTGGTACCCCACAAGTTTTTCACGAAATAGATATATGGATTTTACTCCAAAACTAGGAATTTCTAAGGTGGGTTGTTCAGTCGCAAATGGAAGAGTTTTAGAAAAGGGATATTAAGTCCGAATTTCAGCCCAGGAAATTAATTCTGGTTAAAATAAGAACATTTTGACATTAGTGTGCGACATTGCAAAATTTTAGTACACGAGAACAAAGGAAGTACCCCACTTCTATGCCTGTGTAAGCATGCATGCGCACATGGTGTGTCTCGTCCACTGGGCTCTCGAAAGTGGTCAAAAAGCATCCTCGCTTGTGTGCGTACGGAGCCCATTGAGTATCTCTTGTGTTTCTGTTGATTATCACAGAAGAAGAGATGGATGAAGAAGACGAAGAGGTAGATGATGATGACGATGATGATGAAGTAATGGGGGCCATTGATGCAACAATCTTTGATGATTTAACCTGGGAGGTAGAGTGCACTGCAAAGGTATGTGTCTAATGTGCTCTCTGCACAAAATTCTTCCTCAGTAGCACAAAAAAATGTGAACCAAACCAACAAAATAGTTGACAAGTCACCAGAGTTAGTTTTGAGTTGTTGAACCATCGCAAATCCTGCTCAATGGAAATTACTATGAGTAAGGAAAAGTGAATATTGCCACCTAAATAAAACGTTCATTTTTCAGTATAGGAAAATTTTATTTGTAGACAGCCCATAAATTATTAGCTAATAAAGCTAATGGTAATAAAGTAAGAAAAATCTTTAAAAAAAACACAGTCATGTAAATTTCCAATTTGCTTAAACAAAAACATCAAACCGCCCTCTCCACCAAAACAATGATTAAATCACAAAAAAACTACTTATACTAAGACGTCGAACTGAGTAATATATCAAAATATAGACTTAGATATCTTCTTTCCACTGCACAAGAAACCACAGTATATTTAACCAGTTGACGTCGGATGACGTGTATACATGCAAAGATTTTGCGATATTTGAAACGGATGACGGATAAACCCCTATCGAGCAAGGCCGGAAATATCTGTCAGTGACCCGCTGGCAGGGTGTGCTACCCGCAGATGACGGCCTGGGCAAGACATCGAGGTTTGTGAAAAACAATCCCACGTCTACGTCCAGTTGATGTCAAATTAATACCGACGCCAACTGGTTAAAAGACAACCCCAAGCTCATTTATTGTATTCCAATTACAAACATGAACCTTAGCATTGAGAACCCCATAGTTGTGGCTCTTAGTCTTAATTCCTACTACGTATGAGCTGCGACCATCAAATGGCAAAGCAGAGATACCCTTTTCTGATCTGTGTTTTGGGTCAGCATCTAGCTTTTCACTAATTAACGGTTTCCGGTTTTCCTCCATATCCCAAGGTCTGGAAGTTCCTGCGCGACAAGCTGGTCCTCCACAGCCTGAAGGAGATGGCCATCCGCAAGATCCAGATGCTGGGAAGCGGCGACTGGCGAGTGCGTCTCTGTAAACCCCTCGAGGGCCTGCCCAAGCAACACGACATGAAGCTGTACGAAGCCCGGCTGACTAAAGGCGGCCGCATTCTGTGGGAGTTGGCAATAGCGTTCTCGCCTCGCTGCAGCGAGGAGTCTGAAAAGAGGCTTGACTCGGGTACGGACAAATCTTGGGGGTTTTTATTTTTAATTCTAGGACAAAACTCAAGCAAGCAAAGTGGAAAGGTACTTTTTGGGGAATTAAATTACAGAGTTTATATTGGGAGCTCACAACACTGTCACGGTGTCTTTATCAACTGGTGTTGACCTGTCATGTGACCATGTTTGATCACATGACACATGGGCCAGCTCGTACCCTCCATCTTGGTTCACATGGGTGCGGTGCCTGCGGATTTCTACTGTGTCAGGGATTTTGCATTTCTTGAGTTTGTTGCTTGGCATTGGTGGTCGTCTTAGAGGCAGCTCCAGGTGTTGGTTTCTTTTTAGGGATCATGAACTCCCACGGTTGGTACCCCTTGGCAGTGAGAGCCCTTTTGATGATGTGGAACTCAGTCTTATGGTCCTCCTTCTCTGTGATAATAAGGTGGATCCGGTGGCAGAGTGTGAACCACTGACCTTTTGTGCGCTAGATGGGGATTGGAACCAAAGCTCAAATATTGGTCAGTATGGGTCGGCTTCACGTGACCAGGCATGGTCACGTGACAGGTCACGTGAGGGCCTCAACAACGCCAGTTGATAAAGACACCGTGACGGTGTCGCACGCTCCTGATACGAGCTCTGTACTTTTCAGTCCCAAAAAGGTACAGTTCCATTTACTTTATTCAGTAATGGTACTGGAAACAAACTTTCATGCTCGAAAACTTTAGCAGTTTCAATTTTTTGTGAGCACTTGTGCACTTTTTAAATGTGAATTATTGTCTGATTATTATTTCAGGAGACGGTGCTTCGGAGCCTACAGCAGTGGCCGGAGGACGAGTGTACTCAGAGATAATCCGCATCTGGGACATCGTACCGGACCACCCTAAGATTACGCATGCAATCAAGGTGATCGTCAAATCGGTGGAGCGAGGAGAAGAATGCATCATCCGCAAGAAACTGATAGGCATCAGCAACAAATCGCCCACGGGTAAGAAGTTTGATCCGACTGTGATGTGGTCTGATGGCATTTTGTTCACTGCAGGGTGCATCCCCAGTAAAAAAATTCCCATAGACACCAGTGACAAATCCACATACTTCAAAATTCTTTTAAAAATACTCAGGACTCTCGCAGGTGTTCAGGCTGCACAGAAAATTGATGATCAATATTTCCGATCTTTCATTTTCTGTTCCATTTTTGGTGGGCTGACCTTTAACTGTTTGGAGAAATTCTCAGCCAAAGAAGACCACCCCTAAAACGAACGATGTTTCCCAAACTGGAAAAAATAGCCATTTTGAAAAAGGATTCCTCCACAACATGGCTAAACAGCGCCACTTTCGGACCCAATTGCATCCAAAATGCTCAGAATTGCTAGCCCCAAGTCTAGGCTAGAGGTGCAGTGCCATTTGTCTTCAATTCTTCAAGTCCATGGCTCTCAGAAGTTTCTAATAGAGAATAATTTGAGTATATACCTTTTATTCATGAGCTCGTCGGACAGATTTTTGGCCTATTTACTGGAGTGTATACCAAGGGGCCAGGATAGATGGTACCTAGGTTGAATCTAGAGAGGCACTTCGACCTGAGGGTGTGCAAACAGACCACAAGTTAGACAAGTCATTTGATTGTACGATGCCTGCTGTGAAGTGCTTTGTGGCTTTTTGTACGCCGAAGGGAATCAAATCATCACATAATATGACAAGTACACAATATATCTGTCTGCCTTGGCTTCGCAGGAGGCACAGCAGCGCTTCGCCTGCCGACCTACTTCCGGGAGGTCACAGGAAGCTCACCCGATCGCCGCACCAAGGCCCTAGACGACTCCAAGAAGATCCCGAGACCCTTCTTCCCGCCGGCGAGCTCCAGGGAGAACGAGTACCACATCATGAAGTTCTACTCGGTCAACTCCACGCTGGTCAACGCCATGCTCAACGACAGCAACGTCAAGGTGGATTTCCCGTTCCGTGTGACGGAGCTGGAGCACGCCATCATCAACCTGCAGCCCAGGCCCCCGTCCTCCATCCTGCTGCTGGGCAGAAGCGGAACAGGTCAGGAAATTGTGAATTTCAGTTCCCACCTGTGGCTTGTGGGGTACTTGCACCTTGCTTGTTGCCATTTTTTTTTACAGTGTCTGGGGGAGGGGGGGAAGAAGTTGGCAACCTTCTCGCGGTCCCTCCTGTTAGTACTTGTATCATTATACCACCTCGATTTAGGAGCTAATGGCAACACACAAGGGATCTCATGATCACAGTCAGACTACAGTGTCTGAGTCATACTTTATTAAGAGCTCCCAGCCTAGATAAAGCAGTTTACAGCTATGCTTTAACTGTAGGTGATTGATGAGCCAGCTGTGCCTACCACTTGCCTGTTTTTTTTCTGTAGACTGAATTGGACTAGTCACAGTGCTTGCGTGAAACATGATCTGACTGTTGGTGACTAGCCTGTGTAAAAGGCAAGGCAGGGGAAGAGGATTGATATTTTTGACTGTCTGGGACTGTTCAGATAACAGGAGTGTTTATATATGTCTTTTAAAATCATGAATGTGTAGGTTCTTTTCATGTGTAGGCTCTTTTCATTTTTGTTTGTCTTTGCAGGCAAGACCACATGCTGCCTGTATCGCATGTGGACCAAATTCTTCAAATATTGGCAGCAGGTTTCCATGACTGGCGAGCCCTTGATTCCCAGAGATGTCGCCTTCATTCACCAGGACAGGCTTGAGGAAGAAGAAGGTAAGAATGCCAGGTCTCAAAAAGTCCCATTCCCCATGGCGAATGAGATTCACTATTCATTATCCTTGTTCCACTTTTTGTGGTAATTTTTTGTATAACGTTTTGTAGTGCAATGGAAATAGTTGAAGCTGAAATTCGCACACCACATTCAATCAGCACAGAAAAAAATTGGGCCCCCCCCCCCAAAAAAAAAACTTGAGCTACCCCTTGTATTCAAGGGTTCTGTTGCAATAAATGATATATATTCCCAAAAGTAAGAACAGGTCTATTGGTGGCTTAGTTCCCAAAGCTCCTTCCTTTAATCAAATAACTACACTGCAAATCTAAGGGACGCGACTTGCGAATATCTCCAACGGGCGTTTTGTGGATTTATCATTTTCCTCAAATCTCACCCCTGCCAATTCCGAGTCATTGTCATTGTATCACGAGTCTAAGTCTGAGTCCCAGTCACGGAAAACAAGTCTGAGTTATGAGTCGTACAAGTCTGTAGTAATCTAACAAAGTGTCTGTTTAAGCCAAGAGATTCAGTGTGTGCCGTCCCTAAAGAGTTTTGTTAATTTTGTTGAAATTAAACGGTTTCATTATTAGATGGAAGTGACACAGACAGTGACAGCGCCAGCGCATCCTACAAACCCAGGCAGGCCTACCGCCGCGGCTCAGATACCCGCCGTGGTTCTTACGACTCGCGGAGTGCCGAAGCCTACTCCTCGGCGTCGGTCAGCAGGACGGGTTGCCACGGTGACGCTGACGCGGACGAGAACGTTGACACCCCGACGATCATGGACCACCTGCACCAGATCTTTGTGACCAAGAACGCTGTGCTTTGCAGCGAGGTCCAGCGCAACTTCTGCGACATGAGCCACGCTTGCGAGTTTGCCGGCGAGCCCTTGGCCCAGCAGGACACGCCCATCCCTCACCGGTTCCAGGACGCTCACCAGGCCCGGTTCCCCTTGTTCCTTAGCTCCCGCCAGCTGCTTCTGATCCTGGACGCCTCCTTGCCCAATTCTTATTTCCCTCGCGCGGCTGACGGATCGATGAAGCGAAAAATACGGGGATGGGACGAAGGTAAGGAAAGATAAGATTATGTGAACAACGAATTGATGAGCTTTAGAATAATGCATTATAACACCTAACACAGTGACCTGTCCCCATAAAATGATCCTCAAGTTGTACATCGCCTTTGGTTGGTTGGTTGTTTCTTTAATTTGTAGTTATTTGATATTTGTTTGTTTTTTTAGGGCTTTGTGTTTGTCTTTCAAAAACCATTCATAAATACCTCAGACAGTTTAGCTATTCCTATTGGTCGAGAGCCCGTCACGTGGCCGGTCTTAAACGGATGATAAAGACATGGCTAGCTGGTCTTAAACACTTTTCCAGTGTCACAATAAAATGTGGACTCCTAAAAATCCAGTGCCTCTTACCGTTTCATTGGTTGAACGTTCACAATCCTCACGTAGGCATGCGCAACACTACAAGCGAGTCAGAATTTTATAGTTCTAAATTCAAAACGCAACGCCCCAGGTGCGTTCTGCGTGACATCGCGCAGAACATGTTACGCGCGCGTCAATCTCCATAAAAGGGTTGTTTACATCTTACTCGCCAGCTGAACACTCCATTATTTTGCTAGAGGGATGTTTCAAAAAGCATGAAGTGAACTTGTTGAACAAAATCGGGATTTTTGGAACGAATTATTTGATATTTTTTTACGGATAAGGTATTTATGAATGGGAATAAATATGTGCTCGGTCGGTATTTATCACTCTGTTTAATACCGCTTAGAGTCTGGGTGCTGATAATTACCCTCGCCTCCGGCTCGGGTAATTATCAGCACCCAGACTCTAAGCGGTATTAAACGAGTGATAAAAACCTCCGGAGCACACATTTATTCCCTTATTAATCCTGCGGTGTGTGATCGTACTGAAATGTACTGACATTGTCAGTACATTTTTTAATAATTTGTAATGACTCCGTAATTTTTTCGTCCAAAAATATCATACTCTACAAGTTACCTATTAGCTAAAAAGCATCATGAGTGCCCCTTTAACCCTGGGTGAACTTTTGACCCAGAATTTCTGAGGCAAAGATCAGAACCAGGCCAACTCCCATAGGATTTGTATGGTCCAGCTCCAACCACAAGGCTTGTGAAGTATAGCTGCTGTTATCACAAGGCCATCAATCATGCTGTCATTATGCCTAGTCTTGGAGCCTGGAAACAGGTGGTCTTCATCCTTGTTAGCTATATACATGTAGCCTCAGACTGTTGCGGTGGGGGGGAGGAGGGCCGGGCCAGTTAAAAATCAGTGAAATAAAACAATGGCGGCTCGCATGAGACCCTTTAGTGACCTAAACTGCCCTGCCTATTACTGCACTCTATGGTTTTGTGGCTTTTTTTCCAGGAATACATGTCAACAAAAGTGTAATTCACTGTAGTACAGGTGCTAATCCGTTAGGCTGACATTTTTTTTCCCAGAGGATGGACCTTTGACTTTTATCCCACTGATGGATGATGAGGATGAGGAGGACGAAGACCACACCCCAGCAGCTCTTGGCGAAGACGTGATGCAAGACGGTGAGGCCAACCCCAACGCACCGCGCGGCCTGGGCGGACAGCACGAGGCTCAGGGAGGCGGGGGACAGGCCGCCAAGTATGACCCACGACGTGAGGTCACGTACGAGGTCTTCGCCTACGAGCTGTGGCCTCGCATCAACAAGAAGAAGCTGCCATACCACTCTACGCTGGTGTGGATGGAGATCAGGTCCTTCATTAAGGGTAAGAGAGAGAGCGTGGGAAAATATTATCAGACAATGGAACTTCTTCAAACTGGCGATATCGATGTCAAAATACTATGAAATAATCAAGTAATATCGATATATCTAAGGTGCTTAGTATATAGTAGATGTATGGTTGGCCAAACATGCCAATGTGTCAGCTTTCTGAAAAGCAGTAAGTACATCTGTGTTGAGGGTGTTCTGTGTGTGGTTTCCTGGTCGACTAAAGCGCCTATAGTGAGCAAGGGGGGTAGTTCCTTGTCGACAAAAGTCGCCCATTGTAAGGAAAGGGTAAAACACCTGGCTTGTATTCCTGTGTTTAATGTGCTCGTCAGTTGAAACTCAGCCTTAGTCTTTTGTTTCCATATGCTGCAGGATCAGTTGAAGCACTCCACACAGAGTCAGGCTGCTTGTCCCTGGAGAGTTACTTGGCACTCGGCCAAAAGAGGGCCTCCAACTTCACTGCCGACAGAGAAGAGATCTACACTCTCTTCAAGACTTACGAGGTATCAGCCATCTTGTTTCTGCATGCTTATGCTTTATGCAATGAACTTCCAAATTGAAAGTTGATGAACAAGGAACTTGCTTTAGCAATTTGGGAGAGCTACAAACAATACATTAAAATAAAAATGAACAGAACATTAAAATAAAAATGAACAGAAATGAACAGCATTTTGAAAACTTATATAAGAATGCAACAAATGTATTCCTGCCATGACTGTCATAACCTAAATTAACATTCATAACTCCTAAGACAGTTTACCCATTCCTATTGAGCCTGTCACATGGCCGGTCTTAAACAAATGATAAAGATCGGCTGGCTGTTGTTAAACACTTTCCCAGAGTCACGTGAATTTTTGGACTCGGGTGCCTTTTACCATTTTATTGGTTGAACGTTGACAATCATCACTTAGGCATGCTGAATACTTCCAGTATTTCAGAGTCTTAAATTCACACCACAATGGCACAGCTGTGTTCTGCGCCACGTCGCGCAGTGCGTGATTGTTATTTTTAAAAAAAAAAGTTTATCATGCTCCAACAAAGTTATTAACTTGTTTATCTATATGCAGCACATGAAGAGTCAGAAGAACCTCTTTGATGAGGGGGATCTGGTGTTCCACGTCTACCGTCGGCTGCGGGACATCAAGACACTGGAGTGGGTCCTTCATGAGATCTACGTGGATGAGACACAGGACTTCACTCAGGCCGAGCTGTCGCTCTTCATTCGCTGCTCACATGATCCAAACTCACTCTTTTTGACTGGTGAGTTATTAAAAGGACTCTATATAACACTTTAATAGATCCTTGTCATTTGATTGGTAGAATTTAGTCACATGACATTGAATTATTGCATGCGCGCCTCGATATCAATCAGGGAGCATGAACTTTGCTTTTTGCTATGAGATTGCAATTCCTGTGGTTGCAGGTTTGAAGTCTTCGAATCCAGTCAAATTATCCGTTCAGGATAAGGTGAGGGGGGGGGGTGACAGCCCCCCCCCCCCCACCTTGTCTCCCCCTCACCTTGTCCCCCTCCCCCTCCCCAGTCGTCCCCCCCACTGAGATTTTGAGTTTCTAAAAAATTTATCATTGATCTACATGACGCCATGGGCGTCAATCCTGGGGGGACAGGGGGACTGGGTCCCCCCCCCCCCCCACTTTTTGAAGGGTGGGGGACACAATATCAAATGTCCCTCTCCCCAGATTTTTGAACTTTTGTCTCATTTATAGGGCCCTATTATGTACTACAATGTATCTTTTGCTTAGAAAATATTGGTTAAAGTGGTCAGAAATTGCCTCAGATAGCACCACAGAGCATTTAGAATCCAACATTTTTCGGGGCCCTTAAGCGGGCCCCGAACCCCACGCCTAGAGCTCAGAATTTTGGTAGCTGATTCAATGACTCCAACCTCGAAAACGATGTTCAAAAATTTTTCTTATGCCTTTAGCTGAGAAAACCTCGAAAATTATGTTTAAATTATTATCTTTTGTGCTAAGATAATTATTGGTTAAAGTGGTAAGAAATTGCCTCAGATCACACCACAGAGCATCGAGAATCCAATTTTTTCCGGGGCCCTTAAGCGGGCCCTGAAACCCACGCCTATAGCTCAGAATACCGATAGCTGATTCAATGTCTCCAACCTCGAAAACAATGTTCAAATAATTATCTTTTGCTAAGAAAATATTAGTTAAAGCATGGAGGAAGGTGGTAAGAAATTGCTTCAGATCACACCACAGAACATCTAGAATCCAATTTTTTCGGGGCCCTTAAGCGGGCCCCGAACCCCCACGCGGTAAGGGCTTCACGCTTCGCGCTCGCATCAGTTCTGATCAAGGTATGTCCCCCCCCCAACTTTTGAGAAGCGATTGACGCCCCTACATGACGCCCCCCCATGAAATGTTCCAGCCCCCCCAGCGCCCCCCCCCCTGAAAAATTCCTGGCTACGCCACTGACTAGAAATGTTGACTGTTTATTGAAGCTCGCTCTTAGAATATTCTTGCCGTCTTGTCACTTCAATTTTAATTTTTTTTTCATTGGCTTTATAGGAGACACTGCACAGAGCATCATGCGTGGCGTGGCGTTCCGCTTTGACGACCTGAAGTCCCTCTTCCACTATGCCAGCAAGTCAGTCAAGGCCCTGGGCAAGCACTCGGCAGTAGCTGTACCCAAGAGAGTCTACCAACTCACGCACAACTACCGATCGCATGCCGGTAAGATACCTTGGGTTTAGAGTGGTCAAAACATCAGTCTATTGAAGGCATATAGGATCATGTGCATATATCCCAAAAGAAACCTACCAAATTTTTAACAAAAAGCTTACTTGGAATATAGATAGAACTGGTACTAAACAACCTGTGAAATTATTTTGCCAGGTTTACAGTCAATGCAAAGAAATCAAGAAATGTAGGTATTTTCCAACAATCAGTCAATTGACTGATTTTCGGAACAAAGAGTGCTGTTGGCAAATTCGTGTTTCGTGATCGAAAAGTTGTCCATGGTTTCTTAATGTTTTCTTTAAAAGTAATATCCACTGAGCTGAAATTTCAAAAGGTTAGGTTTTAAAACTTTCTTCTTTGGTTTTTGAGTGGTGTAATCATCGGAAACGAACAAAATATTGCATGAAAAACAAAAAATAATCCTTACTCAAGTCTGACTCAAACCGCAGTTCTTAGTGTCTGGACTTGACTCAAGTAATTACAGGCAAATGTCACACTTGAAGTCAAAGGCTTGTATACTAGAATCCTTTAAAAAAAAGTGGAAAATGATTATTGTTCTAAAGAGCCCCAAATTCATGCCAAGTAAGCTGGTTTGCCTTTTCATGGTGCCTATAGTTAATATGTCATACAATAGGGCTCATTAAACAAAATGAAAACGTCTGCCAATAGCCCAAGGCCAAAGGCCACTCGAGGTGTTGACTACAGTGGAAAGTGTGGAAGAACCAGCCCCTCACACTGAAACAAGATAATCTAATCTCTTCACAATATAAATATTGGACCAAGTCAGTCACAAGTCCAGTGAAAATCCACCACAAGTCTGTTTTACCTACCGCTTACAGTCTTTAAAATGCCTGTCATTCCTCTGAAACCCACAAGTCCATAATGGGAACACTTTGGGACCGAACTTGAGAATCACTGTAGGCTTTCTGCTTTATGTGACCCCTTGCTGATTTTTCATCCAGAGTTAGATAGAGGTTGTATTTCTGACATGCTTTATACATCACGTTTTTACGTAACCTAACCTCTTACCCAGGGATTCTGAACCTGGCCTCCACCATCGTGGATCTGATGACCCATTTCTTCCCCAACTCCTTTGATCGTCTGGAGCGTGACCAGGGCTTGTTCCACGGCCCCTCCCCAGTGCTGCTAGAGTCCTGCAGCTTCAGCGACCTGGCCTTGCTGCTGTGTGGGAACAAGAGGAAGACATCTGAGATAGAGTTTGGAGCTCACCAGGTAAAGAACAACACACATCTTGCTGCCCTACTCCCCCGTACATTTTTCCTCGATTTCATCGCCGCATGATTGTTTTCCCAAATCTTTCAAGATGTTTTGAGGGTTTGTTGCCCTTTGAGAGTTAGCACACAGAATTGATTCTAGCAAAATTCAGTATTTTGGATGATTTTCTTGTGTTGGTTTCAGCGAAAAATAACAACAAAAGGTGGCAGTTCTGTCAGGCTAATTTTGATAAATCCAAAGAGATCCTGACGTCATAACTACGACTCTCGCCTCCAGCGACTGTTGTTTTGACACAGTAGGAAAGCCATAAACCACTGAAGCATAACTCCTTGCTATTGCTTTGATTGTTTGCCGCCCCCAGCGATGACTCTTAGTCATTCGAACAAATGGATGTAGATGGTTTATAAAAAAAATGCTCTCAAAAGTAATATTTTGTGATACAGTGCCAGAAATAATTCCTTTTTGTTTTTAAACATGCCTCAAGCTACCGGGTACTCATGACAAAATATTGACACAAGTATCCTTCTGCAAACAACAGCCTCTTTAAATTGTTGCTCAATGTCATGTCCATTTCCATAATTACTTGATAATGAAATTGTTTCTCGTCAGGTCATCTTGGTTGCCAATGAAGAGGCTATTGAGAAGCTGCCGGCTGAGCTTCGTCTTGGCCTAGTCATGACCATCTACGAGGCCAAGGGTCTGGAGTTTGACGACGTCCTACTCTACAACTTCTTCAAGGATTCCCCGGTGAGTTGACTTTGCAGAACTTTCGACAGATGACATTTTGTTTACATGAATTAGTCAGGGATGCAGTCTTGATTGACTTTTGACTTGTTATGATTTGTGACGACTTGTGATGACTTGCGATGACTTGTGATGAGTTGTGATGACATGTGATGACACTTGATGCCAAGTGATGACTTGTGATGGCTTGTGATGTCTTGTGATGACGTGATGACTTGTTATGACTTGTGATGCCTTGTGATGACTTGTGATATGTGATGACTTGTGATGACGAGTTGCGATGACTTGTGAATGATTAGTTATTGTCATGCGATGGCTTGTGAGGTATTGTGATGTAAAGTCAAGTAAAGTCTGTCACGAGTCAATGTGGCCCATCAGGCTGGCGTTTATCTCCAGTTTCAGTAGCATGAAATGACTGAGAATATTTCTATTCTCCCTGGATGGGATGCTAGTCCATCGCAGGTTACTCTCTAGCTAATGCCTGTACCCATTTACACTCCTGGTGGAGAGAGGCAAGTGGGGATGAAGTGGCTTGCCCAAGGACACGGCTTATGGCCAGCAGCTGGATTCAACCCTCTGATCATGAGTCACGAACCCTAACCACTAGGCCACACTCCCCATGCATTGTGATGACTTGGTTCCAACTCTGCTTCTTTGTCTCCTAGGCCGACAAGGAGTGGCGAGTGATCACCGACTACCTGAACGAGTTGATCGCTGAACAGCGCAACAGGTCCGAGGACCAACAAGAAGGATTGAAGGAAATAGATGTGGAGACCTTGACTGGGACAGTCCGGCCACGGCCTCTGAAATTCAACCCGGATGAACACAAGGTAAGGAATCTTGACTCACCTCATTCAACTCAAACCTTTGCAGTGACTCCCAGATACAGATTTTAAGTATTTAATTTCTCTCTTCTTCATGCATAAAATTTTAAAAAATTGTTTTTCTGTGGCTTTTTGTGATTCGATGTACTGTGATTCTGTTTCAGTTCACTCCAGCTTGCCACACTGTCTCTCTCTCAGATTCTTTCATATAAACATGATACAAAAAATTGAGTTTTAAAATTCTTGCTAAGTTTGATGCTTCAATGAACCTTAGCTTTTATGATTCTTTAAGTACCCTCCAATCTTAAGTTACCCAGAATGATTAGAAAAATGAATGTCGGTATTTGCAGCTGAAACAGACATGGAGAAAGAAACGTACAGTTTTTCAATGGGACGGGACTTAGAATTGCGCTGGGTAATGAATGTGAACAAGAATGGAGCATTTTCGCACAGGAATGCATTTGAGCACGAACACACAATGACAATTGCACTCATAAGCAGCCCTCAGGTCGAACTGCGATTTGCTTGCGTCGCGACAGAACTGTCGGCATGCAAGCATAAAAGTCATGCTCTGGTCACAAAACTGAGAAAACGTGATTATCGCTGGATCTCTACACAAAATGATTGCAACCATGCTCCTGTCACCCACGTTGGTGACTTCACATAGGTCGACTGTTATTGATTCCTGCCTATTGGGAACATGTTCCATCGTGGTGCAGAAGTTGAAATTTTTCTACTCTTGCGACTGTTGATTTTGTTCAAGTGCCTATTGTCTTAATATCGTCGCAGTTACACTCGGGTCATAAAAAATCGGTGCCTGAAATGTTCCCAACGGTCGAAGCTCAGTTGCCGACTGTTCTGTGTCGTCGCAAAGTCAACTTGAGGGTGGCTGTACATAATTCCTTGCTTCTAAATTTGGTCTCAGGCAAAGCTTTGCCACAAAACCTTTCGTATTGAAAACCTTGGCTAGCTACATACTTGTGGGTCATAATATACTGTGTTGTCTCTCTCAGGTGCTGAACTCAGAGCTGAAGTATCTCTACACGGCAATCACGAGAGCCAGGGTGAACGTCTGGATCTTTGACGAGGATACGACCAAGCGAGCGCCGATGTTTGAGCTGTTCCGTTGCCTGAAACTCGTCAAAGGCATCGGTCCAGAAACTGCCCCAGAAGCAGAGGGGCCTGGTGAGTCCAGTGCACAATTAACAGCAGTTCAACATTGTGATGTGAGACGTGGTGTTCTGAACACCCAAGGGGTGCCATGGCCAGGGGTACTGTGCATCATGAGGGCATTAAAATACCACACTGAGATAATCAGATAACTTCTTGGTGCTAATATTGTTGTTCTTAGGAACTTAACATTTTCTGGTTTGGATCAGTAAAAATTCTAGTATCCAAGACACAGAACAACAAATGCTGTTGTTTTCAAGTATGTGTTTGAATTTTCTTTTTTTAGAAACGTTTCATTGAGGTATTGTGTGCAACTTTGGAAGTGTTGCTCATTAAAATTGTAGTTTGAAATTCCAAGCATTCAAGTGACATGTATGAATATTGTACCTTGAATGAAATTTGGCATTTGCTTTGACAAACTTGCTGAAAAAAATGGTGAAATGTTCAAATTACGGCATCATGAGCTGTGAAGGGGTCTTATGCATATTTACTATTTAAAACCAAAAAAAAATTGCAGTATGGCATTTTGAAGACAACATTTTTCCTAAAACATGTGCTTGATCCAGTCTGCAACATGTTTTGTTGTGTGTCTGTTTTGTAAATTTTGTTGCTTGACTCTTGAGTAATTTTTAGGAATTTTGTAACATTTGATTGTTCCTACCACACAGAATAATTTCTGTATTTTCACAGGATCTGTCTGTGTACATTTAGTGTCTTTAGTCTTTGGATAACACCGTGGCCAAAATATTGTGCTTATTAGGTAACCCATGCAGGATGTTATGCATCTTGCCAGCAACCTCTGCAGATGGAGTGAATTACTTGAAACTTAAAACAATATACTGAATTCAACAAAACTCAATTATTTTTTTTGGGTCAGATTTGGACGCCATGTTTGTGGAGAAGTCCAGCCAATGGGAGTGGATCCAGCGAGGCCATTACTTCTTTGAGAACAAGCTGTGGATGGTGGCTGCCAAGTGCTACCAACGTGGTGGAGATGGTAGGCGTGCCTTGCATAATGTATAGTTACACCTCATTCATATTTATGAGTCTTATAAATATGCATGAGGCATTATTTCTTTGAGAACAAGCTGTGGATGGTGGCTGCTAAGTGCTACCAACGTGGTGGAGATGGTAGGCGTGCCTTGCATATTATTTATTTTACACCTCATTCATATTTATGAGCTTATAAATATGCATGACGCCATTACTTCTGCAGGAAAGGACACAATTTGAGACGGGATCCCACAAATGAGCCTTAATTCTTCCTCAGAAACTTAGAATCTTAGAAAGTTGACTGTACATCGCCGCTAGAAATCATCATCCAGTTCACATGCATTGGAAAGAGCATAGTCCACTTTTCATTTTGCTACATCACTCAGTTTGACATTGAAATACCATCAGATATTTTGTTGTCAAAAAGGTTGACCATTCCTGTTGTTTTCTGTAGTGTGAGATTGTTCCAAAGGGCCTAATACTTAACCCAATAGATGTGTCGACTTGTGACTCAATTTGTTGAGTTAAGTCACACTCGTACATATTAGGTCACTTCAGATTTTATATTTTATCAAGACAAATAAGAAATTTGCCCATCCCATGTTGTGCCCCTTCTAACAGAGATAGGGGTGAGACTTGTAAGGATGTTTTTCCTGATTTCTGGATATTTTGTCAGGTTTCATCCAAATTTCAGGATTTGTAGTCAGGATATATCCTGATTTCAGGTTATTTAAAGAATCCCTTGAGAAATCTGGAAATCATGAGGTTTTGCTGTAAAGAGTTTAAAGAAATGGGTATTGTAAGGGGTGTTTTAGGCAAAAACAAACATATGCCATAGACCCTACGTTGCTCTGGTTGCTCTACGTAGTGACCCTCAAATTCTCCCCAATAATTTCGTGGATATTTCAACTTTTCCCTATTCTTGCCCCTGCAGAGAAGCGAGAATTGCAGGCCAGGGCGCACCACCAGGCTGTGGAAGCGGACCGCATGAGAGACCAGCTACCAGCCATGAGGGAGAAGTTCCTGCAAGCAGCCGGCCTGTTCCTGCAGTGTGATAGCAGCCAGATGGCCGTCAACTGCCTCTACAATGCCAGGGAGTTTGGCCTGCTGGCTCAGCTTCTGGAGAAGCGGGGAGAGGTAAGACAGAAATGCACCTCATACATATTGAAAAATGTTCATACATTTTTGAAAAATTGAAAACAGAAATAGAACTTGGACTAGAAATAAAAACTGCTTTGCGGTTTAAGTTCAGTCTGTATTCAAAGTCTACATGCTGACATGTACGTGTAGTTATGTTCTTTTAAGTGCTCATGTAATCTTCAAGAAAATGTATAACCGTGACGAAAATTATGATTTTGTGACTTGTCCCTCAACCTCATTTGTGACAGAAGTTTACACATCTTTATCTTCATGGTATGTCTCGATATGCATCCCCCCTCAGAAATTAAAAATCTATGTCATAAACAAAGAGATTTTTTGTGAGAAAGAGACAAATGGTTTTTGTTGGAATGGTGGAGAGACTGAAAAAGGTAATCAGCGAATCTGCCTGGTCGGGATTTGAAACTGGGTCACGGGTGAAATACAAGGTAAAGCACTAAATGCTTTACGCCTTCCTCTTCATTCCACCTGTCCTGCTTTGTTAACCTCAGTTCTCAAAAGCGGCCAAGATCTACGAGAAGCGACTGAATCGTATTAGCGATGCCTGCCGCTGCCTGGAGCTGATGGGGGATTACGCCAAGGCCTTAGACCTCCTGTGCAGTGTGGGTCTGCACACCAAGGCCCTGGACCTCATCGATCGCTTCAACCGGTTAAAGCAGGAGCAGAAGATGAAGGGGATGCCCTTACCAAGACATGTCAGACCGCCAGGGTGAGTGTTCAGAGTTTTAGTCAAGAGGTCACAAGGCCTCATAAGTCATTCACAAGTCCTTACAAGTCAATTATATGTCCTCACAAGTCCTCACAAAAAATCATTTGGTCAATCACAAATGAGTTCCAAGTCCTCACAAGTCAAACACAAGTTCTTCGCCAGCCGTTGCAAGTCCTCACAAGTAACTTAAAAGTTCTCACAAGTAAATTACCAGTCCTCACAAGTAAATTACAAGTCCTCACAAGTAACTTACAAGTCTTCCCAAGTAATTATAAGTCCTAACAAGTAATTTACAAGTCCTCACAAGTAATTTACAAGTCCTCACAAGTAAATTACCAGTCCTCACAAGTAAATTTCAAGTCCTTACAAGTAACTTACAAGTCCTCACAAGTAACTTACAAGTCCTCACAAGTAAATTACAAGTCCTAACAAGTAAATTACAAGTCCTCACAAGTAAATTACAAGTCCTCTCAAGTAAATTACCAGTCCTCACAAGAAACTTACAAGTCCTCACAAGTAAATTACAAGTCCTCACAAGTAACTTCAAGTCCTCACAAGTAAATTACAAGTTGGCCAATCTGAAGCTGTGACAAGCCATTCGAATGACTTTAATAAAGGCATTCCTTTATCCGTAGACACATTCAGCACAAAAAAAAAAAATCACAAACCCATATGTTAAAGCACAACCATACATATTGTCTCGTTCAAATATTTTGGGCATTGCATTACATGTGTCGCCGCTGTGTGTTTGTGTGTATTTCAGGGCCACCCACACCCTGAATGAGTTGATCTACAAGTCAGCAGAGTACCACTTCAAGCAGGGAGACCGTGGGCAAATGCTGGATGCCTTGGAGCAATTGGGCCAGTTTGAAGCCAGAGTGGACTTCCTGCGTAAGAGGGAGCTGTTTACTGAGGCTGTGACAATGCTGAAGGGCGGTAGACGTCTTCTGGAAGCAGCCAAAATACTCAGAGAACAGGTACAAAGTTGAACTTGATGATCAGGCATTTTTTTAAGTGCCATCAGTCAGCTGCCAGGTAGTCAGTTAGAGGATTCTGCAAATATTATCCATCCTTAGCTTCTTATTGAATTTCAGCTGGGCCTAGGGTGACTACCTTGTTGATCGGCCCTGTCCGCTAGTTCCATGTTAAGAGCCTAAACAAACAAGTTAAACAACTTTTTTGCTGTCTTCGTCAAGCATGTCAAGAGAGTGTGATGTAATGTAGACAATCAATGTTTCTGTTGAATAAAAAAACAGCAAAAAACCTTTTTAATTAAGTTTGTTTGTTGGACCAAGAAATTGCTGGTTAATGTGAAATGAAAAAGTTAATAAAAAACCTTGCCTTTATCCTCGCAGGGTAAGCTGGAGGAAGCCTGCACCATCCTAGAATCATCAAGTTATCCTGAGTTTGTAGCAGAGTGTCGACTGAGCCAGGCAAGGAAGCTCCTACTAGAGCCAGACAGTGAGGCCAACCAGGCTTCTGCCGTCTCACTTCTCACCAAGGCAGAGAGCCTGTTCAGCAGATGCAGTGACTCTGTCATGAAAGCCGAGACGCTGCTTCTCCTTGGACAAGTGCAGAGGGATGCCGCCAAGATCCGCGATGCCAATCTCTCCTTCAATAGAATGTCTCACACAGCTGGGGAATCGGAAAGCACTGATCACCTGATCAAGCTCTCGCTACCCAACGCTGATAATATCAAGAGTAGGGTCTTCCATCAGCTGGAGAAGCTTGTGGAGCTGATCTGTGCTCTATTTGAGAGCACTAATCCTGGAGAAGAGCGGCAGAGACGATCCTGCGAAGTCTTTTTTGGTTTGCGTCCAGGGGAAGCTGGTCAGCTCCACATCCAGAGGTGCGAAGGAGCCAGAATCTTGTCTGCCCTGGATAAGAAGGTGTCGCTATTGAGTGAGGTTGAGGCTGTGAAGGCACGAGAAGCTATCGCCAAGTATTGCCTGATTCCAAGAGCCCTGGGGTGGGTGAAGGGGATACGTGAGCTGCTTCGTGGGGAAATAAAGAAGCTGACTCAGTGCGTTGATTATCAGATTGGGATGCCATGCTCGAAGGGCCTCGAAACCTGTCAACAGCTTCATTCGCCATACTCGTTTCACCACGTACTGAATCGGGTGAACTACCTTGTCCTGCTGATTGAGATTGACGACATTATCGGGAAGGCTTCCCGATTGTCCATCTTCAAGGCTGCAGACAAGCTTACCGTGGAGATTAAACGGAGTCATGTAAAGAGCGCCAAGAAGTGCAAGGCATTGTATAACATTTTCTTCCCCGAGCACTGCCACCAACGCTTCATTGGCGAATCAGTCCAAACAACGCAAAAGCTTCTCAGACTTGTACAGCATCCCTCCGTCGGAAGACAGCTGAAGGCCTTTGCTGAGAATGAGCGCAAGAAGGTTGACCGTAAGCATCAGAGGGCAGACACAGATTTATACCTGATGTGTCATGGTATTTACCAACTAATTGGTGAGCCACCAACAGTCATGAAACACTTGGTTACCCTAGAAGAAGATGACTGCTTAAAGTGGCAAAAGAGAGAAGGATGGAACCATCCTAATCCATTAGGAATGCACCCGCTGCGTTCTAATGATCCACGGAAGGGCTTCCTGAGCTACAAGCGCCGCCATTTGGACTCCTTTGAGGATCTGTACACAAAGCGTGACGCAATGCAGTCCCTCATTTCGTTCAATCGCTTCATGGGCACTCTGGTTAACAAGCCGGTGGATCCTCTTCTGCCATCCATTAGTAACACAGTGGCAATGATAGAGGCGAATATCACCATGATGTTAACTCTTGGAGCAAAGACACAGCCGTGTGCTGTTGCCATACCGGCGAGCTACCTCGCCCAGGCTGCCTTCCTTGATGCTATATGCGCTCCAGGAAAGGGACATGCAATGTATACTGCTGTGAATGTCACATCGACTAATAAGCACACCTTTGGCCAGACTTGCCGTCTAGCTCGTCTCATTTCTGGGACAACTACATTAGACAGGGAGTTTAATGTCTTGGTAGATGCCTTCTCCAGCGTTGAGTACATACAAACTGGAGAGGCTGAACGCACTCTGGTTCTGGTGCTTGTGATGCTGTGTAATGCTGGGATGGCTCTACCTGTACAGATCATCAGAGACACACGTAAAGCACTGCAGTCCATAGCTCCTTCTGAAGACCATCTGCCAAAGAGAGTCTACACCGCTCTCGGCAGAATCAGGGAAGCCCAGTGTCGTCATGATGCCCTCAGTATTCTGCAGGAGCTCCTGAAGGCTCGTGGCGACGAGTACCTCAGAGAATGCAGATGGAGTCCGCGCATGCCTCCCCGAGGATCGCCTGGGTTGGAATTCCGCAACTTGAACCTCAAGACCTTCAGCAATGTACAGTTTGAGGCACTTCCGGCAGTATCCCCGACTGTTTTCACTGAACTGATGGAAGGCAACAGCCGTCAGAGAGGGAGAGACTTGGACGAGGAGGAAGATGAAAGTGCTGGCTGGGAAAGGGGAGTGGAATTCCTCGACGATCCTGAAGTTGAAGGTGACCTTGACGTGTCTGAAGAAGAGGCTGCCAAGGCCCAGAGGGAACAGGAAACCCTGCAGAGAGAGCGGGCTACAAGGGTCATCATGGGATTCTTGAAATACAAGAGGCTTCTTCGCTTAGCCAGCCTCTTGAGATCATGCGGCTACACTACCATCAGCGTCAGACAGGAGGTCCAGTCCAAAGTAGAGACAACAGCCACCGCCTGGGTGTCCCAGCAGCTCTTGGAGTTCCTGCACACTCCCATAAGATGCACCATTTGCAGTGTCAGTCTGAGAGGGGTCGAAGAGACAAGACTTGAGCCAGAGGAACTGACTGAAGAAGGCCATGACAAAGATGAAGCAGGTTAGTGTTAACGCTATCAAATTAGTTTTCTTGTTATCTGTTAAACTGTCTTGAAGTCAAGCCGTCACATCAACAAATATGCTACCAATTGTGTTTTAAAGGTAATTTTTTAATATCCTGAGAGAACCATCTCCGAGACCACTCCGAGAAGCTTACATGCAGTGATTGTTTTGTTAAGGTAAATGTTGGCCCGCCTTGCATACTTTAGCTCTCTAATTTAGCTCATTGTAGCAGTTTATGCGTAAAGTTATGTACTGATTGATTGCTGCACACTAAACAACATAACAGGACTTGAACTGGCCAGGAATATGGGCGATTTCCAGTGCAGTGCGCCACCAAGAGTTTGCCACGGAGAGTCCACTTTTCAACTTCACGGTCAATAAAAACATTGCTGCGATTGCGACTTGCCGCGATTTGAACGAAATGTCAGTAGACTACTTGAGGGAATTTTTGATAGATCGGGGCATAGCATTATGCTGCCTTATAAAAACACATCTTGATTTAAAAAAAATAAATACTGAAATCATACGGTTACGAAACATACGCCGGACAAAGTATCAATTTTAAGCATCCTGCGCCATAGCGAATTTGTCTACCATCTCCCACAATGCACTGTGAAAAATGGACCTTAACACAGGTTACCAAGCTGTACACAGGTTACCAAGCTGTACACAGGTTACCCAGCTGTACACAGTTTACCATGCTGTACACAGGTTACCCAGCTGTACACAGGTTACCCTGCTGTACACAGGTTACCCAGCTGTACACAGTTTACCCAGCCGTACACAGGTTACCCAGCTGTACACAGGTTACCCAGCTGTACACAGGTTACCCAGCTGTACACAGGTTACCCAGCTGTACACAGGTTACCCAGCTGCACACAGGTTACCCAACCGTACACAGGTTACTGAACTGTTTTTATTGTTGCATGGAACTTTTTACAGGTGAAGCGGCCTCAATGCAATCAGATCCTGGGCCCATGTCGGAAGCAGACGGCAGGGATGATCTACCAACCCAGGAGGAGCACGAAGCGACAGCTCTTCATCGGCAGAGACATCAAGATTTCATTCAATATGGAAAAATGCTCCAGGATGAGGTGTATCCATTAGTGACAGGTATGGGCAGTGTTACCAACAAACAAGCCTGGGTTGCTGTTTGAGGCGCTTGTCTCCAAAACAGTTCAGAGGCTTGAAGTGACACCATCCACCTCCCTGTGTTTTTCTTAAGATGAATAATGTGGGAAACTTTCCGCATTAAGCACCCTGTTTCTCAGGCAAAATAATGATCTTCAAAGGAGTGTCATACTTGGACAATTAAAGACATCTTCCAAATTATCGTTTCGCAGTGAGAACTATCTCGATTCATCACATCTAGGTTTCTGAGAGAAAAAAAAAACACTGTAAGAAGGTACATCAAAGGGTACTAAAATGAACAAACAAAGGGTGGGAATGATCTTCTTAACAGGATAAAGATATGCTTTTTGGGGTGGCATGGGTGGCTAGTGCGTAAAACGCTCGCCTCTCACCACTGTGGCCCGGGTTCGATTCCCAGCTCGGACCATATGTGAGTAGAGTTGTGCATTGATTCTCTCCTGTGCCATGAGGATTTTTCTTCGGTTTTCCACCCTCCACGAAAATTAAACATTTTTTATCTCTGGCTGTGCTCCGTGGTTGCCTTTACATGCCTGCGGCTCGACCATGTTGTAGCCGCGTCCTTTGCAATTCAGCTTCTCAGCTGCTAGTAAAGCCCCCAAGTTATTATTGGTTTTGTATTTTCATCTTTGCATAATCTTGGGACCAGATAGAGTTTGTAAGGCTCTCAATCTTGTGGCTGCTTCTATGCGATCTAGAAGTAGCTTTTATTTGTGTCCATGGGCAGTATAATTTACCACAATTCATTTTGTTTTGCTATGTGGCTGAGAGTAGAGATTCCAAAACTGTAGAGTTGGTAATGATTTTTGTTCTAATTTAACATACATAAAATGGGTTCACTTTTGTCATTTTTAAAAATCTCTCACAGAGGTTGAAAAATTACTTCAGGAGCTTCGTTTCCCAACTCTAGCAGCAGGAAACACTGGATACTCAGATGAATTTAAATACTTTGAAGAGGTAGGTTTAAAGTTTGAAGGTTTTTCCTTCATATTCTGTCTTTTGAATGCAGTCGTTACATTGCCTACTGGCTCTCTGAAATCACATGACAAAACAAATGTGAGAATATCCTTCTTATATTAGCAATGATACTTGCACTTTTTGTTTGTCATATCTTACCAACTAAATACAATGTAGCTAAAGGACTAAAGGCCAGGCCTCATTACAAGGTGAGGTTTAAAAAAAACGAAACCCAAAATGTCGGGACTATTGTTTTGTGAAGTTCTGCATGTAGCAAATTTCCGATATGGAAGCCAAATTCATAAGCTTTCTTTCAGTACAAGCATCATTCAAATCACCCATGTACTCTTCAGGTTACGGAATTTAAAAACACAACCACCATTTTAAAGTTCTGTCCACGGATCACAAAAAAAGGTGTGCATTATTTCAGCAGAACGAAGCCAATTTGCACACATCCCTAAGCGATTTTTTTTCACTTTGCTGAAAGAACACTTGCCTTTTTGTGATCCATGGACAGATCTTTAAAAGCGTGGTTGTGTTTAAAACTCTTTAACTTGAAAACTGCATGAGTGATTTGAATGATTCTTGCACTGAAAGAAAGCTTACGAATATAAGCTTTCATATTCTAGATTTTGCTATTCACTAACTTCACTAAAATAATAGTCCCGACAGTTTGGGTTTCTGAGGTTTGTTTTCTCACCCTGTAAAGCTCAAGGCAAATTTTGTACAGTCAATTAAAGAAGACCGTGGTATGACATTCCATCAACGTTTCTTGGTTGACAGACTTTGTCTAGACGCAGGCAGGACCTCACTGACAAGATGGCGGAGATCCAAAGGCATCGGGCCTTTGAGAAGCTTGCCGAGGTCAGGCACACTGCAGAGCAGCTCACAAAGCAATACCAAAGGAGCAAGAAAAAGCTTGAGCAAACAAGAGCAGCAGCGCAACAGGACAAGACTGCTGAAGAAGGTAAGGGTAATATCCACAAATCAGGAGCCGAACTTAACACTGCAATCTTGGGCCGTCGGCCGGCTTCATGCGTAAAACACTCACAGCCAAGCCCTCGAATGGGTCCTCCATTCGTCACGATTCCTCATGCACACATCTAGCTCATTTGTCTCTTCCACCCCTGTGTCCCTCTTCAGTACATTGATGCATGATGCCTTTGGTCTGCCTCTGTGTCTTCTTCCGTTTGTCGGCTCCCAGAGTATTAGCTGGCTCGTGGGTAGCGCAGGATGACAGTGGCAATGTCCTGCTAGTTCCATCCTTTTGAAGGCAATTTTGTCCCCAACCTTAGGGAGCTCCCCACTAGGTCCTGAAATCCCCTAAAATTTCATGTTTTGGATCGTTTACTGAGCCTATTTCAAACATCTGGTTGAAAAGAAAGCAACCTAATGTCTTACTGTTCCTGAGAAAAGACAAAAAAAACCTGCTTGTTTATATCGGACATGACGGAGTACGAATACATTTTTCGTGTCGTTCTCAATGTACGATATACACGTTGTGTGTCTCGGGAACAGCAGTGACCAATCACCAATGCAAAAAGGTGGTTTCTTCAGCGTCCGCAAAAGGGGCGAACACTTTACGAATGAAATCACAACTAGCATCTAAACAGCTCGAATCTATGGGGTCGCAAAAGTGGACCCCAAAATTTGTTTTCGCACGCATAATACAGGAATAACACAAAAAAGCCCAGGTTTGAAAGGATAGTCGTGTGGATGTTTGTATCCTACTTTTAAATGTTATTTCCGATTAACATCATCTCGTTCAAAGTGCGTTTTGTAGCTGTTCCAGGACCTAGTGTCCCTTTAATATGATCTCTCCAGTTAATGTTGAGTACAGCTCTCAGCATACGAGTATAGGTGCCGTTAAGCGACTTCTCCAGGACAGATGCTAAAAGCCATGTTTCACACCCATACAGCAGCACCGAGTCAACTGTGGCTAGGAAAAAGATCAGCCTTACCTGTCTTGTTATGTTGGCGTTCCACAACCTTTTCATTTTGTTGAGGGCTGTCCAGGCTAGGGCCTTCCTGATCTTGATATCACCCAAGAGCCCAGATATTTGAAGTCTGTTACTTCCTTGAGAGGGAGAGAGCCCCAATCCCCAACGGTAATCGGGGGGGGGGGGGGGGGGCATATAACTGTGGAGTTGTAAGTGATGACCTCTGTCTTTTTGGCATTACAGGATAGCCCGACTTTGTGGCACTCTCTTTCCACCAGTTTGAGCAACTCCTGTGTCTGTTCGATCTTGTTGCTCAGCAGGCATATATCGTAACCATTGGTGAAAAACAAGCAGTTAAACAGATCGAACAACACCAAGGGACCGTTTCATTCAAATTCTCCCCCCCCCCCCAACTGACCCAAGATGTGCTTGTATTTGTTATATTAACCCTCGTACTATTTAAGAGGTCACCAATGGTCAAAATGTTTGTTTCTCACCTCCTGGCCTACTGTGTACAAACCAATGGGGGTTTTGACCAATATTGACCCAAGTAATAACCAGGCTGACAATGCATGTTTCCATAGGAGGGTTAATGTAGCTATCATAATTCAGTGATTTAAGTAGTCGACAAAACATTGAAAATCTAATACACACAATTAACCCTTTCCTTACCATGGGCGACTTTTGTCGACAAGGAACTACCCCACTGCTGCTTAGTTGGGGTCCAGACCAGTAAATAGGCCAAAAATGTCCTATGCCTGCCAAATCACGAATGGCATGCCCTCAAATTCTGCGCCGTTTTGAAAAGTGATACCTACGCTCCATTGCAAAATAGAGCACCTTTGGGGCCCAATTTCATCCAAATTTCACAGAAGCATGAGCTCACAGTCCAGTGCACGGCTTCCACCCTACTGCTTTACAAACTCTCAAGTTCATGGCCCACAAAATGCTCTAATACCGAAGAATTTGAGTGCATGCAAATCGTGATTTGGCCGGCGTAGGCAATTTCAGGCCTATATACTGGTCTGGACCCATGGGATACTGCCAACTGGTTGGAAGTTTGACTTTACTTCCCTTTCTTGTTCATGTTGGAACGTTGGCCAATAAATGGTGTTTTTCCACAATATGTATGAAGTGTTGTAACAACTCATATGTGTTATGTAATGCTCTTTTGGTGTGTTTTCAGATATTAAGGAGGCAGACGCCATACCCTTTGAGGAAGAAGAAGAAGCAGATGAGGACAAAATCCTGCCTGTGGCCGAGCAGCCAGACAAGCGAAAAGGGGGAAGGAACAAGGGGAGGGGCCAGAAGAAAAAGGGGAAATGGAGTGGGCGAATGAGCAGAAGGCGATAAGTGAATCGAACAGGAAACCAGAACGTCATCCTTCTTTCTTTGGGCTGCGCGCTTCTTGCTTAAAACCCCCTGGTGTAAACAGCGTAAAGACAGGCTGTAAAAATTTACTGTCCGTAGAGTTAGCAGATTCTGCAGAATATAAAGTACTTTCCCTTTGATAGTCTCATTTGCATTCGATTTCAACAAAAACAGGAATAGTTGGTTAGTCAGTTTGGAACGTAAAGTAACTAATGTTCTCCACCTATGACCGAGGTTGAAGGAGCGAATCTTGGTCGGAGAGTATGCAGAGTTGCTGGTCTTTTGAAACCAAAGATTTCGGCAGAATTCTGTATTCTGCAGACAGACCTGCAAACTTTGTTTCAAAGCTCGCCCTAAATATGTCACTTTGCTGGCCAAAAGTCTTAACTTCTAAACTAAACTTCTTGACTTAGTCAGAAGTCCTCGGAATTAATATGCATGTATTATACATGTGGTCACAATTAAAGGCTTTCGTCACCTAGCAAGAATCATTCAGAATAGATATAGCATCCACTGATGGGCAGCATTTTCACAACCCCCCCCCCCCCCCTTGTTTTTTTGAAACAACGAATGAAATTCTGAACACTCTTTGAAAGTCTGATCACACAGTCGTAAATTTCTATACGCCCGAGGACAATGCTTTGTGTTTCCCTTTGTCCCTGTAGTATAACGCTCTTCCATAGACTAAGCACATAACCGTACGATCGAGGACCGTTTTCAACAAAAGACCCAATGCTCGAGGACAGAACAGATCTTTTGTTCTCCCTTTGTGTGTCACTCTATCATAAAGCCATACATGTACACACGGTTCAGGTATTGAGATGTCAATAAAGACAGCAGCACCTCTTCGTTTGATGTATTATTTTCACATTTAAAACTTCTCTACAAAATGTGCTTAATTTTGGAAATTTCACTTGACATCTACTTTAAGCATTACACATGTACTTTACAATAGTGGGGTTATACTGCAATCTTGTTTCTTGTCAATTAGCTTGAAACACATAAATTGGAATCACTAAAAAATAATGAATAGTGTTTGCCATATTGCAAAGCACAAATGCAATGAGAGGGATGTTGACAAGAACAGATTTATTGGAATGAGGTTGATAAGTTGGGACTGATTAAGTGTATTGCCATAAATGTTTCATAAAGAAATTATTAATATTGTTGTTGTTAGAGAAAACTTTGTTTTCTTGTAAGTGAAATGAGAAAGAATTCCCCCCTGATTTTGAACTAATATGCTTTTGCAATTTTGTTTGGTGGTCGGAGACGTCTCCATTTACATGATCACTCACTTAGTTTTTCCTCGGAATGTTGTTTGCAGAGTTCTTGCAGAATAGTAACTAAATTCTAATTTGTAGTCATTTCCATTTGGTTCTTGCAGTTGTAAGTAGTAAGTAAAGTCTGTCCCGAGCCAATATGGCCCATCAGGCCAGCGTTTATCTCTGGTTTCAATTCCCCCTGGATGGGATGCTAGTCCATCGCAGGTTACTCCCCAGCTAATGCCGATACCCATTTATACTTCTGGGTGGAGAGAGGCAAGTGGGGATGAAGTAGCTTGCTCAAGGACACAACGTATGGCCAGCAGCTGGATTTGAACCCCTGACCCTCTGATCATGAGTCACGAACCCAACCCACTAGGCCGCACTCCCCTTCCCCTTGCAGTTGCTCCACCCAAATTTTGGCAGGGTGGTTTGTTCCATACTTTCATGATGTTTATTTCGGAAAAATGTGGGGTTTTTTGGTGTTTGTTGTTACGGGTTGTTAGGGGAATGGAATAACCAAGTGATATTTGTTGTTCAGTAAAATTGCATTTCCATAGTTTATTTTTCTGCCTTACAGTTAACGTGCCTACGTTTTTGCCGTGCTAGCGACACTTTCTGTTTGAAATTCAATTTGGCCTTGTAGATTTTATGCAGAAAAGTACATGACGTCTAATTTCTAGTCATTATCCATTTGATATATGCAGTTGCTTGCGCCCAAGATTTGACGGATTGGTTGTTCCATGCTTTCTGATGTTCATTTTGGAAAAATGTGCTTTTTGGTTTCTGTTGTTACGGGTTATTAGAGAGAAACAGAATAAGCAGTGAGATTTTGTCGTTCAGTAAATTGTTTTCCCATATTTTTTTTTTCTGCCGTACAGTAGACATGTGCCTGCGTTTTTGCCATGCAAGTGATACTTTCCGTTTGAAATGCAATTTTCCTTGCAGGCTTTATGCAGAAAAGTAAATGTCTAATTTCTAGCATTTTCATTCGGTACATGCAGTTGCTCGCGCCCAAATTTTGGCAGAGTGGTTTGTTCCACACTTTTGTGATGTTCATTTGGGAAAAATGTGGGTTTGGGTTTTTGGTGTTACGCGGGTTTGTTAGGGAGAAATGAAATAAGGGGATATTTGTCGTTCAATAAATTGCTTTTCCATTATTTTTTTTTTGTGCCATACAGTTGACACATACTTTTTTTTTCTGCCAAGAGCAAGTTCGCGCAAGAACTATTGTTAACCATAGTTCGACTAAGTTAGCTCGAACTCTGTCTAGTCAACGATGGTTGAACTATGCTAGTCGACTATTTGGAACCAGCCTACTGGGCCTGGTCGCATCGCTGGTTATCAGTAGTCTTGTTTCGTTACTTAAGTGGAGAAGGAACCATTGACAAAAGATTAAAAGAAGTGAATTGTACTACTACCCGCTGGTGGGCCTCTGAGATATCTTCCGGTTCATTCAACAGGTCGAAGAACATTAAAAATCCAAACATACCCGTGACCGCCCTATGTTGACGATGGTTCGACTAGAGTCGATCCCACTTCGTTACAGTGCATGTGCATTGTTTGACACCAACCAACCACTGGTTGACTAATGGTTGTTGCGCGAACTTGCCCCATGCTAGTGATAAATTCTGTTTGAAAATGTTGGCAGGTTGGTCGGTTCATACTTGTTTATTTAGGGAAAATGTGGTTTTGGTTTTTGTTGTTTACGGGTTGTTAGGGGGAGAGAATAAGTGGTGATAGTTGTTGTTTATTAAATTGCTTTTTCCATGAATTATTTTGTTTTTCTGCTAGACATGCAGTTTTGTGCCTGCATTTTTGCCACGCTGTTGATACTTTGTTTGAAATTCAATTTTCTTTGAGAATGCAGTGTCAAAGGGTACATTCTCAGTGCAAAAGCAGCAACTTACTGAAATGAACAAAGGATTAATTCTCACCCACAGCCACGGTAATACGGTGATGACTATGCTCTACAAGATTTTTTTTGTTTTTTCAGAATTATATTTTTTTTTCCAGCCAAATTTTGCCAACAGATTTATTTTTAACAGCCACACAAGGTGAGGGGGAAAAAAAACATTTATTTATGGAATTGTCAAGTACACAGAAATATTCCTGGCATTCCCTCTCCCCCCCCCCCCCCCCCCCCGCAAAAAAGGTTTTAAAGTCATTGATGAGCTTTTGCAACGTTTGACATTTATATCTGTACTTTAGGCCCAAAAAAAAGTCTCCGGTTTCTGGTATGGAGCTTGCCCAAAAAGTGGTGCGGCGACGCGGCTTTTTTTTTTTTACCGGTTTTTTTTTGCTTCAAATGTCGGCTGATGACTGCAAATGGTGCCCGACTGAACTTAGTGCAAATATTATGGGAGACCGGAGAGGCCACGTAAAGCTTATTCTCGATCATAACCCCATCTAAAAACACGTTCAAACTGTGCAGCAGCAGGATTCCAGTCAAACCAGTGAGTTTGGCGATTTTGAGACATCATCTTTTATTGAAAAAAAAACTTTTTCATTTTGCAGACGCGCATGGCTACGGCGACGCGCGCGTATACCAGAAACCAGAGACTTTTTTTTTTGGCCTTATTGGTTATTGTTTGGAAAGTGTTTGGGTTTTTTTTTTTTTTTTTAAGAAAGTCTTTGACGTTATTGAAAAAGCAAAAAAGCATGTTCCAACCAGAAGCCTTTTCCACCATCGTTAATCTTAGAATATCCTAACTTTATTGATTTTGTGGCTTGGTTACTCGTTTTGTTGGTAGAAATGAAAAACTTGGCCCCCCCCAAAGAAAACATAAATACATTTTTTTTTAGCATCTATAAACAACAAATTGGCACTTTCTTTTATTGTCTTTGAACCAGTTAATTGTCGCAGACAACTACCAAGAAAATGAATATTTAGCACCTCATTTTGGCTAGAGATAGGAGGAAGATAAACACATAGATTGATATCTCAGCTTAAATAATTTATTTATAATTGTTTTTTTTTAATGATCAGTCAATATGTGCAGCTTGATTTGTTTGCCTGAAACCTAAGAAAAACATTCCAATATGAAGTAATGGTTTGGTGGTTTTTTTCTTCATTTGTTGAGTAGTAACATAATTTCAAGCCTTTAAAGTTTTTAAAAAATTGTTCACTTAAATCCATCTGGATAAATAAAACAAGCTAATTAGAAGATGAAGTAGTTATGAAGTAGCTATAATATGTGCTAATTGGATGATAAGTTTGAGCTGTGTTGACATTCTTTTTTCCCCAGGATCTGAGCATGGACTCTGTTGAATAGTTCTTGTTTGATCAGTCACAGACAGTCAAAAAAAATCAGTTCTCTTTCCCCTACCATGCATTGTACACAGGCTAGTCGCCAACAGTCAGATCATATTTTGAGCAACACTCTGACTAGTCAAATTCCATCAACAGACATAAGTAACTGGTAGGTACAGCTGGCTCATCAATCTCCTGCAGTCAAAGCATGGTTATATCAGGTTCCATAACCATCACAGCTTTAGGAAGGCAGGGAGCACTCAACTTTGAAAACCAGTCACTTGATTGATTTTGACGTCTGGACTGGCCTTGCTGAAATTGCCAGCCAGAGAGAGAGATATTAAAGAGCCATCTGAGGATAGTCGAGTCTGTAGCTTGGTGATGTTTTTGTAGCTTGTGAAATATACAACAGAACCAAAACAAGGTCCTATGTTAAAGGAAAAAGACACTTTTTTAACCCACAAACTTCATCCCCTGCCCACTGAAATGTATAGATAGGTCTACGTCGTGTGTAACCACATCGCTCGCTACACGTGCACCATTATTACATGTACAACGGGGTATACAGACAGTCACACTGTACGACTGTCAGCACGTGCTGCATTACACAAGCACTATGCATGGACTGTGTAGCTGCTTTTGACTTGCAGTACAGGGCGGTATGACTGCTAAGTCGCTGGTCAAAGATCAGTAGTCGCGGCGCAACCGCTAGTCGCGACATACCGGAATGACTAGTCGCTGCATAACGACTAGCCGACTGTTTAGTAATTGATAGTCGGGCCTACCAATGCTTTTAGCATTGGCGACTAGTCGACTAGCACACTCGCCTAGTTCCTTCATACTTTAAGGTTTGGATAGTGCTATCCAATATGGTAAGGTACATTCTCGTTTATAGTAAGATTCCATTCTGACATCATTGAAACAACAGTCTGTAGGATCGGCTCCGAGAAGATAAAGACTGGCTGAACAAATTGCAGTTTGCAAAAAAGGTTGTCATTTGCTCAAATTTTAAAATGCTAGATATTATTTGCCATTTATATGCTACTCGGTAAACTTTTGAATTTGTGACAGTTTAAATTTGCTCCAACACATTGACGCTTTCTTAATAATTGAACAATTATTCATTATCTAGGATATGTGATGTGCTGGGCAGCTGGTTGAAAATAGGGTTTTTTTTTCTTAAAAATTGTTAAAAATCATAGGTCATCTCCTTTACACTTAAGATTTAGTGTGTCCGTTTCAACTCGGTGGCCTTAATTCTTGAACAACCAGCTTGATGACTAATTAAAAATTAATAGCCAATTCAATAGTTATAAAGAAATCTAAAAATCACAACTTTATTTAATCAGCACAATTCAGATAATAAAACACCATGTAAGTTAAATTTGGTTTGTGTCATCACAGTGTTATTTATTGTCAATAGTGCCTTCAAACTTAAAACAATTGATTAAATGAACGAGAGAGTTAATTTAATCAGCATATTTTACTTTAGGCTGAGATTCCATGATACATTGTGGCAACACAGAAAAAAGTGGAATCTATTGTAAAGCATAATTGTCCACTTTAGAAGCACATGTACCCTTAAATTGACAGTTGTTTTTTTTTAAATGTCACTCTTCAACATTTCATTGATACCCTAAAAATTCAATAAGGTTCAATAAGAGTATGTGGTTGCACAATGTAACAAATGCCTATTGTGAGGCTTTGATAAGAACCGGGGAAACCTCGTTTCATAAAGAATTCTCTGCCCATCAGAAACTTAAGTTTCGTTAACATCCCTGTTGCAATAAGCCAGTTCGGTATTCCAAAACAGTCTGGTACACAAGAAGATTCAGCTAGTCTTTTTTCGGGATAATTGCTGCAGATAAATGCACACAAGGCTATGAGGGACTTGGTAACCGAATCTGCATTCTGTGCAATTTTTCGTGCAATCGAAAAGAGATGGAAACTTTCATTCGCACAAAAGTTTGGACACGCAAGACATTTAAAAACACGTCGCTGTCCAGACGATTTTTTGCAAAATGTTACTTCAGAACACGACGATCTCTTTAATTTTGCTGGTACACCGCTATGCTTTTGCACGCATACGATGAAATGTTTATCCCGAAAGACAAATCTTCAAATCTTGATGTGCACATGGCAGTTGGAATACCGACCAGGCTTATTGGCACATTCCTTGCACCCTTCCAACTTTACCAAACCACTTTTGTCCAGCGTTACAATGAAACAACTTTTTGAAAAAAATTCACATTTTTTTCCAAGGAAAATAACCATGACACTCGTACAACCAGGTCGTGATTTTAGTGGCAGATCGGGATGGGCAATGCCAGCGTTTTGCTCCTGAAGTTTACCCAACACTTGAGATTTGAAAAGCAAGGGTAAGGCAGTCGTCATCCAATTGATATCATCTGGTACTACCGAGGCCCTGTTCATTGTTACCTCATTTGCTGACGGGAATATCCATTTTGCTGACATAAACAACACATGGATGTCGCACTTCCAACACCCCACACCTCCCCCACCCTCTCGCCACCCCCACACCACCACCCTCTCACTACCCCCACCCCATCCTACCCTCGCCCCCACCCCTTCCCTACCCTGCCACGTCCCTGACTGGGAACCTTGCTGTCACTCGTAATGTTTGTGCCTCCTCCCTACTGCTCATTTGCAGAAGATTCAAGGCCGCTGCTTTGTATCTCTCCAGCGATCGCGATTCGTGGCTCTCCTTCGTGTTCCGGAGGGCTGTCACGGCGTCCCGATACCCGCTGACCTCCGGTGACCTCAGGTAATCCAGCTCTTCCCCCGGGCTCAAGTCGCCGCCAATGTTATCCTGAAATAATCCACCACAAACAGTAAGTGTGCACAAAATGGAGTTGGCTGTAGATTTTGCAGATATACAATGAACATATAAATTGACTGCTGTATATAGTGGTGTTCCCTAACGTAGCGCACTTCGACGTTTCCCCCGACTTTCTTCATGCAGTTTTGCCAAATTTCTTTGTTGACAAACTTCAAATTCATTCAGTTAAATACTAATACTTTTACCTCAATAATGCTTGCTGTTGAACCTTTGTGAACAATTTCAGTGTCATGAAATTTAGTCTGAAATTCAAAATGGTGGCGTCCAGAAATTGGGCATAAAATTGGCCATAAAATTGGCCGAGTGTTGCCTAACGTGGCGCACTTGAACAAATCTCGGAAAACAGCAGTGACAAATTTTTTGAAGAACAGTACTGTGTCCATCCTAGTGTTAAGACAGAAAGGTAGGATTATCTAAGATGTTGATTTTTGGTAGAATTTGTTTGATAAAACATCAATCTCGTAGAATTTCTTTTTAGTGAGCACTTTTGTTACATATTTTACCTTGCTCTTCATCCTAGCCAGCGCAGTCATGACAGAGCGATGCACTGAATCCCATACATATTCCTCCATGTCCTCCTCAGTTATATCCGCTTCCCATGGCTCAGTAACCTGCAATGAACAAGCGTAAATTGTACATCAAGGTGCATACAAGAAGCCAGAAGCGAACAGGGCCGAAGTTTGTGGCTTTGCTTTGCAACAGCCAGTCCATTAAAGGTAGAGTATATCATTTGCAGCTATCCAAAAAGTAACTGACCAAATTATTGTTGAAAAGCTTACTTGGTTTAACCCAAATTCCCAAAAAGGCCGTTTTGCTAGGATGTAGCCTCAATCCTGCAAAATCCTCCAATTGGCATCATGGAAAAATAGCTTATAGCCTCCATCCTGCAATTCCTCCATTATTTTCTTGAATATAGTTCATGGAGGGGTGACCACTGCCTGAATCCTGCAAAATCCTGCGGCAGTGACTGTCAATATGTTGAGGCTCGGTCAGTAAAATCCTGGAGCAGTACGGAGGATTTCAAGCATAATCCAGGCCTATATTTATGCATGGCTGAGCAAAAAGAACACAAGGTCCGGCCCAAGACCTTGGCCCAAGACCTTGACAAAGTGCATTCTACGAAATCTGTAACGCACTTTTGCCATGTAACCTCAATCCTCCAAATTCCTCCACTTTGACAGAGGATTTTGAAAGATTCAGGGCGGTTAGGGTTTATAAAGATAGTAATGGCACTAAACTCCCTGTAAAATTATTTTTTCTGGCTTGCAGTCATTTGAAGAAAACAATAAAAGAAGGCGATTTCCAAAGATGCGTCAAGTGACGCATTTTTGGAAGTCTCTGTTTATAGTAGTTGGTTTGTAATTTGGCGAATCTGTGAATGAGTGCCCGCAAGCATTGACACGACGTGTGCTCGCGCGGTTGTTATTGTTCGTCGATTCAGTGCGTCACATCGCATAGCTGAAATCGGCTGAATGAGAACGTGTTCTGGATGCCGATTTTGGGCGCAATTCAAAACACGACTCGCCAACTTTTGAATTGAAATCGAGATCCTAGAATGTTGTTTTCTCAGAATATACAGCATTCACTGAGCTAATACTTCATCAGGTTAGTTATTACTTAAGCACCCATCTTTAGATTTTATGCACTTCTGTTGCTTCAACCTAAAAAAATTGCACAAATGACAAATGATATACTCTACCTTTAAATAAACCATTCATATTTTTTCATTTCTCTTCACTATGGCCATTGCCAAATTCCGTCTCATTTTGCCGGAACGCATTATATATGTGCATGATTAGTGCAAAATTTTCTGATGTTCATATAAATTATTCAAATTTTCTGAAGCAGATATTGATTACGGTAACTAAATTTGGTCCATTTGGGGCAGTATTTTTTTCCCAATGATGGTTGGGGAAATTGATACAAAATTCCACTTTTCTTGCAAATGACAACATATTCCAGGCGCAACGCTTTCACAGGATGCTTGAGGCTATTATTTACCTAGGTTCAAATAAGGTATTTTTCAATAACTTGGCAGGTTGGTCATCCAGGGGTCATTTTAGGTCGTCGACGGTATAAAAATGCACAAAATTTGAATAACTTATGAACACAAAACATAGGGATAGACCACGGAAAAAAGCGACACACGCGATTTGCAGATTACTTACTTTTGTCTATTGCATGCATAAATGGCACAAAGTCTGTTGAACAGATTCAGTCAAAGGATGACCTTGGATGCTCTAGATACGGAAATTGTTATAATTTGCATGACTAGGGCTGTGTTGTTTGAGTTTCAGTTGGGAAACCGACCCAACAATTTACTTTCGAGAACATGTACATCACAACAATAAAAAGCCTATAGACCTATAGAATTGTCCAGTGTTTATTTTCATGGTTTTTAAAGGGAAGATACAACATTAAAAAAACATCCAAAACACGAAAGGATCAAATCGCTCTTAATTTTTCATATTTAGTTTTTCCACATTTTCTTGGCAATTACCTACACACCTGTGAAGGGGTACAAGCCTACCGGACTGGTTCTCTGACCTTACAGTTCCCCAAGTCGACAAACTGCTCTGTTTCATCTTAAGTGGGGTCAGGGAACCAGACTACAAGAACATGATGTTTTTCTTGGTTTTTCCAGCAGCTTTCAGCCCAAAATGTGAAACAAGTCAGTTTAACAATATTTGCTATAACATTCTACTCCCCCAGATCCACTTACTACTGAAAATTGCAGCAAGAGCAAATGTTGTACATTCCCTTTAATGCTCATTTGGGTGGATATGTTTTTCTTCTTCGTCCCATAGAGGGTGGTGTGGTTTATGATGTCAGGTAACAAGGTTTCAAAATAACAATTTTTTTTGTGAAATAAATGTGGGTTTTTTCAATTGCTGGGTTGGAGGGGTTGGAGATGACATATCAATTCCTTTCCATCTTTTTTGAAGAAGTCGACAGTAGTACAGTTTACGTGCTGACTACAACATCCTGCTACTAATAGCCTTATGTATGCTAACTACAGGACTGCTCGGAATTCTCCTACATGAACATGTACATTTAGTACATGATACATTGTACAAAATGTACCACTCACTTCCCTAAATCTAAATTCAGAACCGTATAGACTTGACATTGGTATGAAGTCCCGATTTTGTTTCAGTGCCAAAAAAAATGTTCCTGGGTACGCAAACTTAAAGTGACCATCTGCGTTGCTACAATTCTATGATAAATTTTCATGGAAATTTTTTTTACACAAAATACTGAGATATTATGCATGTTAGGATATCTGTGTCATTGGGGCACAATACACAGTGTTAAATTTTGGTTGATTCAAGAACCTGCTTGCTTTGACGAAATGTTTTCGGATTTGCTTTGTCATAAAAACACCAAAGATGTAAAGGGCTTAAATGGCAGAAAAACTGATCTCCACCCAGAAACTTGCAGACTGTTTTTCATCCTGACTCAACAGTTACCAATGGTGCAATTCCAGCATCACAGACATTACAAGGCAAACATTTTATTGGACTTGAACAGCTCAGTGAATAAACCTGAAATATTATTTATCAAATCGACATCCATCATCTAGTAATGGTCGAGGAGATTACAGACTAGGAGTTTTGGACCATTTCTCTGAATCACTTCCAGAATGTATTTTTGAGGGTTACGTTAAAGGTAAGGTAGATCATTTGTCATTGGTGCATTTTTTTTCTTCGTTTTATGCAACAAAAGTGCTCAAAATCTTAATACGGTTGCTTAACAACTAACCCGATGAAGTTTTAGCACTGTGAATGCTGTATTTTCTGAGAAAACAATATTCTAGGATCTTGATTTCAATTCAAAAAGTTGCCAAGTCGTGTTTTGAATTGCGGCCAAAATCAGCATCCGGGCCACGTTCTCATGCAGCCGATTGCAGCTACTTGATGTAACGCACTGAACCGACAAATAATAGCGACTGTGCGTGTGTATACATTGCTTGTGCCCACTCATGGATTCTCCGAATTACAAACCAACTGGATGCAACTTTGGAAATGGCCTTCTTTTATTGTTTTCTTCAAAATGGCAGCATGCTAGAAAGAACAATTCACAGGGAGTTTCTTGCCATCCCCATCTTGGAACTATAATTGAGTTTTTCAACAATAATTTCATCAGTTACTCTTTGGATAGCTGCAAATGATCTACTCTACCTTTAAAAGAAAGCGGTCTTGGGTTCGATAAGAAAACTGCCACACACCTGTAGTATCCTGTTGCAACTTTTTTTCTTCTTTTTTGTGTGCAGATAAGTGGAAGAAATCGCAGTTCCTCTTCAGACTTCTGGACGTCTCTACATCTGTGTGGACTGAAGTCATTGTGCAACGCCTGGCCAAGAACAAGGAGTATCAGGTATAAAACCAACCCTTCATCCATTTTGAACAGTGGATTCAAGCTGCGTTGCTAAGGAAGTTCAGACGTGCTGAACGCATTTTAAGTTTAGTGAAATCGAACCTACTGGTACATGTGGAACGACTTGCGAGTGAAGATGAGTTTCCTTTCCTAGTCTTCGTAACCCATCTCGGCAGACATGTGGGTTGGGTTTTCAGTCCCTACATTGTACCTGATGCCACGGCTTTTCCCTGGAATATCCTCTCACCTCTAAAACTTAAGATATCTTTGTCTTCTCCCGATTTCTTCAGGAATTTGAGCTAGAGTGCTTGCACATTTTAGAAGAATCTGTGGTTTCATTTCTCCCAATAAATAATGTAATTGCAGAACAAAAATTCTCTATCCTCCTTTTTTTTAACAGGGTCTGCATCTGGTGTTCCTCCGCGGTGGTACTCAGTCGGGCAAGATGTTTGAGATTGGGCAAGGCGGTGCAGCCAAGGGCTGTGACACATCCGGTATAGACCTCCGACCCTTAGTCCGGTAAGTTCCTTTTTGGGCCACAAAATATGAAACTGACATTTACAGGCGTGTGAACGTTAGATCTTGAAACGACAGTTTGGGAGCTTTGATATATCCATTTGAGAAAAGTGAAAAATTTGCACGGTTATGAAACTTTAAAGAATAAGAACGGTATTACAGCCGTTTCTAAACTTCATATTTCATTTTATTTGTATTGTACTATTTAGGGTGGTCCAAATAAAAATGGAACGGCGTACTTCCGCTACCCTGAGACTCAAACAACCTTTACCATTGAATTCTGTTAAAAGAAATATGACACCAAGATCAATCGATTCGGTCCAGTAATTTTTGTTCTAGAACCTATTTTGTGAAACAAAGTCGAGAGTCATTTTGTACCAATGAATTACTAAACCGCAGCCTAGAATTGACTTATTTGGATGGTGGGATCATTGTTATGTAATAATACCCACATGAAAGATGTATGCTTCACAAAATAGTTTCTGAAGCAAAAACTGCTGGACTGAATCGGTAGGTCTTGGTATCATATTTCTTCTAAACGGAATCTCTGTCCTTTGGGAGAGGTGGTTTGAGCCTCCAGGTAGTGGAGGTACCGTATGCCGCTCCGTTTCCGTTGTTGCTGCTGCTGCTGCTGTTCCTGTTGTTCCTGTTGTTCTTGTTGTTCCTGTTGTTCCTGTTGTTCTTGTTGTTCTTGTTGTTCTTGTTCTTGTTCTTGTTCTTGTTGTTCTTGTTGTTCTTGTTCTTATTGTTCTTGTTGTTCTTCTTGTTCTTGTTCTTGTTGTTCTTGTTGTTCTTGTTCTTGTTGTTCTTGTTGTTCTTGTTCTTGTTCTTGTTGTTCTTGTTCTTGTTGTTCTTGTTTTTGTTGTTCTTGTTGTTCTTGTTGTTCTTGTTGTTCTTGTTGTTCTTGTTGTCCTTGTTGTCGTTGTTGTTCTTGTTCTTGTTGTTGTTCTTGTTCTTGTTCTTGTTCTTGTTGTTCTTGTTGTTCTTGTTGTTCTTGTTGTGCTTGTTGTTCTTGTTTTTGTCGTTCTGGTTGTTCTTGTTGTTCTTGTTTTTGTTGTTCTTGTTGTCCTTGTTGTTCTTGTTGTTTTTGTTGTTTTTGTTGTCCTTGTTGTTCTTGTTGTTCTTGTTGTTCTTGTTGTTCTTGTTGTTTTTGGTTCTTGTTCTTGTTGTTCTTGTTCTTGTTGTTTTTTCCTTTTTTTGGACACCCTGTTTAGCAGACGCGGAAGTTGACTTTGGACAACCAGCAGAGAGCGCGATTCTAAAAAGGAAACAAAATGGCTTATACCGCGTTTGGGAAATGAACTCTTCGTACATTCGCATATTTGCAGTGATCTGTCCGGCAGGGAATACGACAGTTGGAGCATGCAGTTGGTAGTGGAGCTGCTCAAACATGGCTCCAAGGTGGTAGGGCTTAGCCAGAAGGAAGGGGACACCCCCTTGCACTGTGCTGTGGAGAATGCTCTGAGAACTGGTACGTACACGTAGGAGGCCTGTTAAAAACAGTACCCCAAAAATAAAGATGAAAACTGTCAATGGGCGTGTTTCTGAAAAGATGGTTGATCATCTTGAGGGCAATTCCATGGTAACTCTTCTGTCAGTTCTGTGCTGTTATTCTTTATGTAGTCCAACTACTTAGGGTGGATTTTTCTTTCAGAGAATATCCCTTGAAATGAAGTATTAAAAAAAGGGCTAACAAAATTAACTTCTGTTAAAAACTTTTTTTTTCGTAACTCATGTTGCACAAAAATAACATGGACATTAATGAAATACCTTGGATTTGAAATTTTCCCTCATACTGTGCACTGATGGAAAAATAGATTTGAATTTTGGGGGTTGAGTTTCTTCTTTGGGTACCCTGGTACCCGTATTTTACTTTAATAGGGTACCCGGTTCCCGTACTGTGTGTTAATGCACACCACTCCAGTTCTCAAATCTAGACTTGAAAGCAGCTTATGCTTAAGTTAGATATGAAGCCGAGATTTCAATAAAGCCTTAGCCTCTTCCATTGGTAGTGCAAAAGTCCCTCATGAACGCAACGCTTCAAAATTACATCCATATCTCTCATGTTAGACTCAGTCGTGTCAGAAGATTTGTTGATTTCAATGCCTGCCACAATGCAGTCCGTGCTCTGATTCTGTCCAAGCTTGACTACGGGTGCTGTTTGTTGAATGGTGTATCCACGAAATACATGTACATATCTCGCCTCCAAAGACTCCAGAACAGATGTGCTAGGCTAATCTTTCAGATGCCAAAACACTTCCACACCTCACCACTTCTCGGACAACTACACTGGCTCCTAGTCGCATTGAATTCCACACACTAGTCCATGCTTACAATTCACTAAATCACACTGCTCCTGATTATCTAATCCTCTGTCCTTACAATCCATGAATGTTCATACTCCCTTCGTAGTTCTCATGCCATATCCCTTGTGGTTGACAAGTCTCGCAAAAAGGCCGTTGACAGGGCATTTCTAGTGCTGCCTCCCGCTTATGGAATGCTCTCCCCGTCTCCATCAGAAACACTGATTCAGTTCTATCCTTCAAGAAAGGACTCAAGACCCACCTCTTCTCCAAACAGTAGCTGGTTTTCCTTATTCATTTATTGTTCCCTTCAAGCACCTTGCATCCTTTGGTAATTTGGCGCTATATAAATCTAGTTATTATTCGACTGTTGCTAAATCTCGTGTGGATTTTTTTCCTCAGGATGGGTGGGCCTGTTGGAGTACCTCTTCATTCACCTTTACAAAACGAGCGAACGAAGGAACCTGCCGGACAGATTTGGGGACTCGCTCTTCCATCTGGTTGCCAAGAAATCCGGCCCCGCTGCCCACGCCAAATCGGTCGTGGACGTCCTGCGGAAGTACGGGGTCGACCCGACCAGAAAGGACCGGCGGGGATGTAGGCCGGTGGAGCTGGTGCCGCTGACCAATCAGCAGATGGCTGAGAAACGAGGCTTGCTGAGCGACGTAGCCCTCGCTTGGGAACAACATGTTAAAGTGCAGCAGAAGCAACAGCAGCAACAACAACAGTTCCAGCAACAGGCAAGGAATGTAAGAAGTGCTGGACCAAAATTTGAATGAGGAATGATGAATTCTTTTTGGACGTAACATCTTAAATCTTCAATTAATATCAGTTTCACCCATTAGATTGTGTGCCCCTTTAAACCCATGAGTCAATTTATTGCCTTAAACCACCAAGCCCATTAATACCTGTAGCCTGAAACTGCCCGAGCTCTCAATAGTTTCAATCTATTGATCAACAAACAAATGCAATGTGTTATTGATGTACCCTTACTTGGCGCGGCCCCCAACGTGGCAGACTTTGATTTTTCACCTGTAGCGCCTACCTATAGCAAAAGTTTTAACTAAAATTTCACAGAAAGTGAAAATTTCATCAAGTTCTAAATACTTCCATTCATTAATCACCAGTTCATCTTCCTGTTACAAAGAAGAAAAAATTATTTCGGCGTGATTTTCCAATTATATTGCAGTACCCCCTGCTACATCAGACTCGGCTGAGTATACAGTGTTTGTAAAATACATCGACAAAGGGCAATACCTTATAGACCAGATTCCTATTTATTATCTTTGTTATGCAGATACCGAGCCAACGCTTTCCTGGTCCCCACTTTGCATCTGGTAACCAGACTCAGGCGCGATACTTCCCCACAAGACCTCAGGCCAGGCCCCAGCCTCAACCCCAGCCTCAGCCCCGGGCCCAGTTCTTTGATCCTAGCAGGATATTCAGCGCCTCGGTAAGTGGTAGTACTCGACACGGGCCCTGCGCAGGAGCAGTCAATTGCCAACCTCGTTTCCATGGGTACCATGATGGTTTCCCATCATGCCTTGCGCGATCTTGACCCCTGGAATTATGTAATATAAATGTGCCACATAGTGGCACGCTTAAATTAGGACTGCAGTCAATGTATCTAACTTGCAGCGTGGTGCTTAAAATTGTGAAAGTTTTTTTTGGGTAGAATCAATCCTTCCAAACATGAGATTTGGATGACGGGTATTAAGCAAGGATTTATCTTTTACCTCGTATTTATCTCGTACCTCTGTCGTCTGTTTACAACACAAGTTACAGGGGTTTTTTTTGGGGGGGGGGTTTGGGAAATGATGCATCCAAAATCCATATCGTTCAGTCATCTTGCAGTTTTGAAATAAAATGTTCGTACGTGACGTGACACGCAGGAGATAATGCGTGAGCGCCTTAGGGAGTGCAGTCTTCGAAATGCGTACGCTCTGAATAGCCGGTCAGCGTGGTTTACGTATTCCTCACGGCCAGTCAATCGAGGCCGGTCAATTGCTCTTTCTGCGGGAACAAGTGACCGCTTTTTGACCACTTCCGAGAGCCCAATGGACAGGACTCACCGCCATATGGCGTGAAATACCCACGACTGATCTTATATTGTGAATGTGCGCAAAGCCAATGTTTCTTGGCTTGGGTGTCGTGTGCCAACGGTGATGCAATAGAATTTCATTCCAATCACGGACCCTACACACAAGGATGAACGACTGTTCTGAGCTCAAAGGCCAAAAAAAAAGTCTCCGGTTCCTGGTATGCACGCGCGTCGCCTTAGCCATGTGCATCGGCAAAATGAAAAAAAAAATTGTCAATGAAAGATGATGTCTCAAAACTGCCAAACTCACTGGTTTGACTGGATTCCTGCTGCTGCACAATTTTAACATTTTTCTAGATGGGGTTACGATCGAGAATAAGCTTTATGTGGTCTCTCTGGACCCCCATATATTTGCACTAAATTCAGTCGGGCACCATTTGCAGTCATCAGCTGACATTTGAAGAAAAAAAAACAGTAAAAAATTTTAAAAGCCGCGTCGCCACTCCACTTTTTAGGCAAGCTAAAGATATTGTGCTCGGTGTTAACCATGTTAACATGGTTATGTAGTTATCACGTATCAGAATTCAATAATAATGGCCAAAAACTTAGGATCATGAATATTCAAAAATATAATTAGCTGGCTTGACAGACTTCGATATCAGATCATGCGCAGAGCCCTGCAAATTTGAAAGCCGCCACGCGCAGGGGTCTTTCTTGACAAGTTTCCATGGTATTTGCCACCAGTACTGGCTGTTATCATGCGTCTAACCAGGAGTTTGGCCAAGTCGTTAATCCTTATGTGTAGGATCCGTGCTCCAATGGTCCCCCAAACTCTCTGTTTGCAACTGTTGAGGGGGTACTGTGAACGGAATCCATACGATAAAATTCTGTATATTGTGAGAGTAACAAGCCAACTAGGCACCTCCCCTGATCAGGCATGCAACTTTTCCTCGGATTAGCTGATTTCCTCTTTTTTTTAACTTCCAATGTGTGCCATTGAAAATAGAAAAACACTGTACAAAGTCATGGAAAGATTTGAATTTCCTCTTTTTTTGTGACTTCCCGTCTGCATGCCTGCCTGATTGAAAATCTTCTTTTCTTTCAGCCAAGGCCAAGTGACTCGACTCCGTTCTTTGATCACTCCAAACTATTCGGAGGCCCTCAGGTAAGCCTTTCATTCTTTTCCATAGCAAGGAAAATGGTCCACATGGGAACAAACAAACTCCCGCAGGAATATTAGTTTTGCACTTATGCAAAGGAGCCATCTTTTTTGTACCCCGCCAGCGAAGCCGAAGGGACACACTGTTTCCGTCTTGTCAGTCCTGTGGGCGTACACTACATACACCTCTAGAACAGACAGACAAGAGGGAGAACAACAGATTCTTTGTTGACAACAATCGTTCATCTTTTATTTAAAACGGTCCTTGATCGTGTGTTTATGTGCCTATTCTATGGGAGAGTGTTATATTACAGAGACAAAGAAAAAGATAATGGCTTGTCCTCGAGAGTTATGGAAAACACAACTACATGTGCGTGTTTATGGTGTAAATTGAGGACACATCATCGATGAATTGAGGACAGGAACCAAATCGAGGACGACCTTGAAAAAAGTTAAAGAGTATAAACAAAGGAAAAGGGAAGAGGAACAACAGAAAAAAATCCATGGTTTACACCATAAACAAACGTGCCTGCATTTGTGGGCGTGTTCAGGCTCAAACCGTGGACGAAAAATGCCGGAGAACAAAAGAGAACAATATCGTCCGCGATTCCAAGCATACGTCCGCGATTGGGGTCATGTACAAAACATATGGGAGTCATCCTTAAAAGTTAAAGTACAAACAAAAGAGGGTCAATTGGAAGTCCACGATCAACGGTGTGAATACCACTGCGTGTGTGCGTGCGTGCATCCTTATTTTTGGTTGGACTTAATGTATGTCATGAACCTTGATAGTGAGCTGCAATCGGCTGAATGAGAAAGTGTCCCGGATGCTGATTTCGGGCGCAATTCGCAACTTGACTCGGCAACTTTTGAATTGAAATCAAGATCCTAAAATATTGTTTTAGAACTCGGAACATACAGCATTCGTTGAACTGAAACTTCATTAGGCTACATGTAGTTGTTAACCACTGGTCTTGAGATTTGAGCACTTTTGTTGCTTCAAATGAAAATAAATGACAAATGATGTACTTTATCTAAAAGAACTTCGCCTCCCTCCAAAAGCAATGTTCTTTAAATTCTTTAAATGCTTCGCGAATTGTGTATTTCCATGACCATTCAATGTTTGTTACACAAGAAAAGGTCCACTTATGGTGAAAAGGACACTCCCCTTCAAACTGAAGGACTGCTTCTTTCACTGATGTCCACAAAATGAATATTTTCACAGGGAGTTTAGTCCCCTTACTATTTAAACCAATTGTGTTTTTCAACAACGTCAGTTACTTTTTGGATAGCTGCAAATGATGGACTGTAGCTTTAACCCCTACATGTACATGGGTTGGCTACGGCCCTGAAATGTACAGCACCAAATTTGTCATAAGGTGCATGTAACTTATCTTTTTCTGTCTTTAACATAGTTTCCACAGAATGAAAAATAGACTCCCTTTCAATTCAGCAGGCATTGCCCTTGGTGGGCATTCAATACTTTTTTATTTTTAACAAGACTTATATTTTGTGGATGTGTCGTGTTCTATTGAATTTGGAAGAAAGAACGAAACAAGGAAGCTGCGAGCTTGAAAACCAAAAATAGGATACAACCCATCATTATGTGATCTTGAGAGTTGCGTTTTCAGTTTTGATGTGCTGTTTCGTAATTTAGCGTTTTAACCAGAGCACTGTATCTTCAAGGTCATTTTGTCAGGGTGAAAGTGGCCACAAGCGCGTCAGTTTCGATGTGATCCACTTACGAAAGTATTTAAGTAGAACACCCGCTCTTGAAGATCATTTTGCGTTCTCGTGAAGATCATTTTGCATTGTCTTAGCAGCCACATTGCAGTAAGTCGCCATTAACAAAGTATGGTGTACAATCGACATTGAGCCTCAAACACTGATGCTTATACGCTTTCTCAATTTCAACTAAACCAGCAATCAAACTTGGTGTCACATGCTGTCACTTGACTTAAGAGGACACACGGGACAGATAGTTGAGTGCAGAGTCAAAACTTCTTTTCCTATTAAAGTTGAAGTGGTGAAATACAGAGAACACTGGCTTCAAACAGCTGTTGGTTGGAAACTGTACCCAAGTGGAACAGCAACTGCTATTTCAGATTGTCCTTCATGCACTTGTTCAAATCTTTGTTTCCTGTGTACTATTTGGGAGGCAGACTTTTCAACGGGTGCCCAATCTGAAAACTGGAAGGTGGCATCGTTCGTCTGGCCAGCTGTGACCCGATCGCGACACGGTGGCTGTCGGAAATGGACCTTGACGTTTGATTCAGCTACATGTACCTTGACTTTTGATTCAGCGCTGCATACGAGAGAGGGAGAGTTTGTTCTTTTTGCCACTGCGTTGCTGCTGAACAGACCTGCAGTTATCCTCACCAGTCAAACGTGTCTTGCTTGATTTTGTCATCATCTGGGAATCACGCTTTTCTTCAGCCCTCCATTCAGTGTGAGCAAATTTCTGCTGTGTTTCTCTACCCATCATACCATTATCTGTACAGGACACAGAACAATCACATCTACTGTTGTTGACACTGCTTAAAATATACATCAGCAGGAAGACTCTGTGTCAATCATGTGGTTGTACCATGAAAATGTCACCGTCTATGCCCAAGCCACAGCATCCCTTGCACAGCTGGACATTCTGGTCTGTACCTTCTTCACCTGTGTCTTCCAGAACAACAGCGACAACTGCTCCGTGGCCTATTCCCTTCCTCAGATGGACCATCCACTGATCTGGGATGAAACAGGACCATCTCCCTGGGCAGCGATGAATGAATCCTTTGATGCACCGAGCAATGAAAGATACAAACTGTTGAACCACTCGTTGCAAATCCTTGGTTTTGAGAATCTGGCAGAGGCTGACAAGTATGTGTATTCCAACGCAGAGACTGTAATGTATGGTTTTGTCCTTCCTGTCCTCGAAGTACTAGGGATCCTATCCATTCTGTCTTTTTTCTTTACCCTTTGCAGAGTTCCCTCCATGTGGAATGTCACTAATTTCTACTTGAGTAATTTGGCAGTTGCAGATTTGATGGTCTTGATTTCAGAGGCCACTCAGCAGCAATGTGTGGCTTTGCCAACACAATCTACATTGGATGTATCATATTTGGGGAACTCAGCCCAAGCAGTTCTTACTCTCTTAGCATACACTGGGAGTGTGGGTGTTATTTCATCTATAGCCTTTGTAACACTGCTGTCTTATGATAGATATTTTGCCATCTGTTACCCTTTCCAACACCGTAATCTCAATCTGAAGCGACGGTCAATACGAGCAGCAGTTTGCATATGGGTACTGTCTTTTTCCATGAATTTGTTTGTTTTCTTTAATCGGTTTCTGGCCTTTAATGTACCACCAATCAAATGTCTTGTTTGGCCAACTGAAGAAAAGTATAAACATCTATCAGGTAATGTGTGGGTGTATGGGAATAATGATGCAACTTTGTTGACTTTGAATATGGTTTTCACGTACCTGTATTTCTGTGTATTCTTGTTGAGTTTGATCCTCACAGTCACTCTCAATATCCTCCTTATTAAGGGACTGCATGCATCAAATCCAACCGGTGATCAGATCCGAGGTCCGTCAAAACATCTACGAAGAGTTACTCTGATAATTGGCATCAACACAGCCGTGGTATTTGTCTGTTTTCTGCCTCAAGCTATATATAGCCTAATTAAAATTTTAGTGGGAAGCAGGAAAGAAGTGAATGTAAGTGATGATGTGGAATGGGGGTTGAGTCTGATGACTGCTTGCCTCAGACTCATGAACTCTTCCATTAATTCAGTCCTATTCAATGCAAGTAGTGGAAGGTACAGGAAGGCCTTTAAGCAAGCCTTCTGCTGCAGAAAGAGGCAGCAAGTACCAACAAACAATATCCCTCTGCAGACATTACCAAGAACCAATCCTGCTGATCGGATCAGATCATAGGATCCAAAAGCAAAACTCCAGCCCCCCAAAAAAAAGAGATAAGAAAAAAACCTAGACTTATGTTTGTGGACAAACAGTTGTTTCCGCAACTTTTTTTGTGACATATGTGACATGGAAAGTATCAAGTATGAGTTCCATCCAGGAACCTGGGTGTGACAGCTTGAGGCTGACCATACTCTGTCAGCCCTGACCTGTGGCTCACCTCCACTGATTGGTTGGAGCATGGAGGAATAAGAATTCCTCCATGGTTGGAGTGGGTGGCTCAACGTCCCATAGCTGGATTTGGAGACTGATGATGAGGAAAAATGTGTAGTTCTGTTTATAATATATGGTGGCATGTAAATATGTGATTACATTCTCATAGGGCTTTGAATTATGACGTCACACGTCATGTGATGACGTCATGATGACATCACATCAATTTTCATCTATTATCATCGATAACAACCTTCCGCTAGTAGGATCTCTAACATTTTATGACATCACCGTTAATTTTTTTTGTAAAGAAAAACTTAGCCAGAGCATACATCGTTGAAAGCAAGTTCACATCTTTTACCAATTTTAAATTACAAAGCACATCCAGTTTTAACTGGAAGGAAGGGTCACATGATTTTGCACGTACTATCAAAAATGAAGACCAAGGATTATTCTATCAATTCCAAAAAAAGTCATGTTCAGATCTCTCACGGTTAATTTTATCTTGATTTTCAAAGATTAAATATATTAATCTTAAACGTGATGTCACTTGACCCATGATGACGTCACCATGAAGTCACTTTATTTTTTCATCTATAACACACCCCGGTCTAGGTACAAACCAACTTTCAACCCAATAGGACCTGTAGTTCTGTACACATAGGCCTTCAAAATATTCACCTATAATGTGATGTCACGTGACACGTGATGACCTCATGATGACATCAATGTTCATGACACATACATGTATCTGCAGGTGTTGGTCTCTAAGTATCTCTTGTGTGCCAAGTATAAAGGCAATCAGATTGATTTTAGTGCCCAAAGTGCCGGAAACAAACAAATGACTGAATTAAAAAGAAAGAAAAAGAAGAGACAAAAATTCTTAACGAAAACAAAGGCTGTTTCGTCGTGTTTTCCGATACAGCCAATAATGCAATCCTCTCTTCCAAAAGTTTCTATAACTTCCAAAAGCTGCATAGTAATTTACTGTTTAGAAACACAAATTAGAAATACTGGCATTCGCAGCACATCAGTTTTGTGTTGGGGGAGGCTAGGCATACTTTGTTTGAAAGAAATAATTTAACTCCTTTTACCACTACATTTTTGATTTCCACAAAGCAACAATTTTCAAATGTAAACAAAAAATAAGTCTCAACACTCTTGATCATTACATGTACAATGTATCTGTAAATGAAACTGTACATAAAACCATAGAACTCACAGTTGTTTCCATGTAAAAATCAAAAGAAATGTATTACATTTGTACAGAGATTGTAATGGTATTAAACACACTGTATCATCCATGCTGTTATTTTGTGTGTTTCCTTTGTTATCACAATACTTGCTTTCTATGGGTTCCCCCTGAATTAAGTGCATTTGTAACGCTAATAACAGAATTAAAGAAAGATCTCCAAGAAAGCCTTTCTGTTACATTGTTATTAGTTACAAGTTTTTTCTTAAAAAATAGTACTTTTTCTGAACGCAAATTATTGTATATTCCCTTTAACACACCCTTGCTACCTGAAATCTTTAAAGGTGAAATATCCCAACATTGATAAAACAATTTATTCCACTCAATTTTCTGACTGAAAAGGAAGGAGGTGGAGGATATTAGAGCTGACGTTCGATAAAATATCAAGTAGTGTTTGGTGTATTGAATAATATATGGCTCATGGGGGCAGGGCTTGCACAACTACCTCCTCAAGATGGGTACGCGTAGGTGAAGGTAAACTTGCATATTCTGCACAAACCCCGCCTTCCCTGGTGTTCAGTCATTCTTAAATGTTACAGGATAAGTGTGAAATGGGAACCATTGAAACAGAGGAACCATCATATTTTCGTGGTGTAGCTGGGGGGGGGGTTACTTTCTGTAAATAGCGCCCTCTTTGGTCAATGCACAGAGGAGTTTAAAGAGTTGACAGGGCTACGGGTTATGACGAACTGGTTACTACCAACTGAAGTCAATCAACTTTCACATTACGAAAGTGAAGTACTCCTTTCAACTGAAGTCAATCAACTGTCACAATACGAAAGTGAAGCATTCCTTTGGCAGGCCCAGCTGCACTTACAAGTTCCCCTTGTTGAGATCGATTTAATATTTTTAGTAGTGAAAGTTTTTTTCCCAACATGCTATCGGTTTTCAAAGCAAGTTTTGTGAGAAAATCAACTTTAAGAGCTCCCAACAACAAAGCTTCTGGTTCCTGGTTTAGAAATCGAACGGGACGTCCCCATCATCGTGTGATTCAAATAACCATCATTCAAGGTCTTGATTATACAAAAATTCTTATTTTCATATAGGCCTTATGCAAAATTCTGTTGCCTCATAGACAAAAACGTAAATCGGGTACCGTAGTAAAAAGCTTCACAAATGGTAAATGCAATTAACTTCAAAACCAGCAATCAAACTTGACGTCAGTTCTCATCCCAAGCCAGCCAGTTTACTGGGCCATCACTTCTCTCTGGAAATTGATGTCACATGTTATCGAAAAGTTTGTAAATCGAAATTCACTTTTTCCAATTAAAAAGAAAATAGCTCTTTTGACTTGCCAATTCAACTCTCTGCGTTCCGATTTGTAAACCTTTTGCCCGTACCATACGGATACAGTATGCATCCGGTACATGTACAATGTACCGTGTATTACGTCCATCGGAGCACCATATGCATGGGGACCAGTGAAGTTAGACTTAAAGCAAGCGTAAATTCAGTGCGTTGTGCAAAGGGAGCAGGATACCACGTTAATTTTGTCTTAATACATGCCACGAGTGTCGGTAGCAAATCGTGACAACGAAATAAACCTACTTGTGTTCAAGATTACTTAGGCAACCTGCATGCATATTGCATGCGCGTGGTATATATGCATGCAATGAACATGGCAGCACCCCCACGTCTGAAAAGCGCCAAGACAAAAGTTTTTTTTTTAAGCGAACTGACACTTTTTATTACCGTTTAGAATGGACTAGTTGTACATGTACGTGTTTCCAGGTGGATTCCTTATACGTACGGGAATGCAAGTGGGCAGTGTTGTTGCAAAGGTACTGTATACGGACTGCAGCTGCATTCCACCGTCAATGAAATGAACATTCGTTATGTTTTTTATTGAATGGAAAATCAAAAGTTTAAAATCGAAAATTGGGGTGCGTGGGTGGTTGGGTAGGTCAAAACAATTTGGAAATTTTAAAACATCGGAAATTTGGAATGGCCCCTTAACAAGGAAAAATTGACTGATCAGCAATCTCAAGATGGTTACACTTTCAACCGACTTATTTTAAGAACTTCACAATTCAAAAGTACACATTGAAAGGCCTAGCCGTACTTTCAATATTTTTCTTTCAATATTTGTCTTAATGCTTGTAAACGTGTGAATTTATTAATAACATGGAATCGGTTTTGAGGCAACGTTCTTGTGAGAAAATCTACTCCAAGAGAACGAAACAAAGAAGCTAACAAGTTAAGATATAAAAAGGATACCACCCATCATCATGTGATTTTTTCTTTTTATAAAGCACTCTATCTTCAAGTTCAACTTGCAGAGTGAAAGTGACCACATACATACATGTACATGTCAGTTTCAATGCAGTGCACCTGTGAAGGTATTTAAATCGAACACTTGCTCTTCAAGATCATTGTGCATTTCCTGAGCAGCCACATCACAGTGCGTCGTTGGTCCAACTTGCTATAAGTACACAGCGCATGGTGCCTTGATCCTGGAACACTTGATCCATGCATGTATGTACTCTCTCAATTACAACTAAACCAGCAATCAAACTTGACGTCAGTTCTCTTCCCAAGCTAGCCAGTTAACAGGGCCATCACTTCTCTCTGGAAATTGATGTCCCATGCTATGGACAGGTCTTGCTTCCTCTGTTGCTTCCTCCAAGAAAACACGAAGCAGTGACAAATTGGTGTCACATTTGCTGTCCGTTGATTTGAGAGGGCCACTAGATCTGACAACTCAGTCTTCGAAAACAGACTTCGAATGCAGCTTCAAATTTTATTCCTACCAAATAGGAAGTCGAAACTATCCAGATAGACGTGGCTACATTACTATCTTGGGTCATAACCTACAATACTGTAAACTTTACCAAAGTACATGGCCCTGTGAGCAGTTGTTAGTTACAATTGTACTTCTGGTGCGTGTGCTTCTGAAAAAAACTTTGTTCCATGCATCATATTTGAGAGGCAAGCTGTTAGCTTGTAATTCCCAACTGTACTGCTGCTGAATAAACCTCCAGTCATCCTCACCATTCATACTTGTCTCGCTAGATTTCGTTGTCATCTGCGAACCACTTCTTTGTTCAGCTCGTCATTCAGGGAGCAGACTTCTGCTGGGTTTCTCTGCCCCACGTTATCTGTACAAGACACTGAACAATTTACTAGTATTTGACACTTCTGCACAGACGCGGGTAGCAGCAAGACTCTGTGTCAATCATGTCGTCGTACTACGCAAATGTCACCATCTATGCCCAAGCTACAACGTCCCTTGCTGAGCTGGACATTCTGGTCTGTACCTTCTTCACCTGTGTCTTCCAGAACCACAGCGACAACTGCTCCGTGGCCTATTCCATACCCCAGATGGACCATCTTCTGATCTGGGATAAAACGGGACCATCTCCCTGGGCACCAATGAACGAATCCTTTGATGTACCAAGCAATGAAAGATACAAACTGTTGAACCACTCATTGCGAATCCTTGCTTTAAAGAATCCGGCAGAGGCTGACCAGCTTGTGTATTCCAGTACTCAGACTGTGTTGTATGGTTTTGTCCTGCCTGTCCTGAAACTATTAGGGATCCTATCCATTCTGTCTTTTTACTTTACCCTTTGCAGAGTTCCCTCCATGCGGAATATCACTAATTTCTATCTGACTAATTTGGCTGTTGCAGATTTGATGGTCTTGATTTCAGAGGCCACTCATGAGCAATGTGTGGCTTTGACAACACAGAATAAATTGGATGTATCATATTTGGGGAACTCAGCCCAAGCAGTTCTTACTCTCTTAGCGTACACTGGGGATGTGGGTGTTATTTCATCTATAGCCTTTGTAACACTGCTGTCGTATGATAGATATTTTGCCATTTGTCACCCTTTCCAACACCGTAATCTCAATCTGAAGCGACGGGCAATACGTGCAGCAGTTTGCATATGGTTTCTGTCTTTTTCCTTGAATTTGATTTATTTCGTTTCTCAGTTTCTACGATTTAATGTACCATTATTTAAATGTCTTGTTTGGCCAACTGAAGAAAAGTATAAACATTTATCAGGTAATGTGTGGGTGTTTGGGAATAATGATGATGCAACTTTGGGCACTTTGAGTCTGGTTTTACATTACATGTTTTTCTGTGCATTCATGTTGAGTTCGATCCTCACAGTCACTTTCAATATGCTCCTTATTAAGGGACTGCATGCACCAAATCCAACTGGTGATCAGATCCGTGGTCCGTCAAAACATCTACGAAGAGTAACTCTGATACTTGGCATCAACACAGCCGTGGTATTTGTCTGTCTTCTGCCTCAAGCTATATGTGCCCTAATTGTAATTTTATCCCATAGCAGGAAAGAAGTGGATGTAAATGAGGATGTGAAATGGGGGTTGAATTTCATGGCTGCTTGCCTCAGAGTCATGAACTCTTCCATTAATTCAGTCATATTCAATGCTGGTAGTGGAAGGTACAGGAAGGCCTTTAAGCAAGCCTTCTGCTGCAGAAAGAGGCAGCAAGTACCAACAAACAATATCCCTCTGCAGACATTACCAAGAACAGATCCTGCTGATCGGATCAGATCATAGGATCCAAAAGCAAAACTCCACCCCCCCCAAAAAAAAAAAGAGTTAAGAAAAAAACCTAGACTTATGTTTGTGGACAAACAGTTGTTTTCGCAACTTTTTTTGTGACATATATATGTGACATGGAAAGTATCAAGTATGAGTTCCATCCAGGAACCTGGGTGCGACAGCTTGAGGCTGACCATACTCTGTCAGCCCTGACCTGTGGCTCACCTCAACTGATCGGTTGGCATGGGTGGCTCAACGTCCCATAGCTGGATTTGGAGACTGATGATGAGGAAAAATGTGTAGTTCTGTTTATAATATATGGTTGCATGTAAATATGTGATTACATTCTCATAGGGCTTTGAATTATGACGTCACACGTTACGTGATGACGTCATGATGACATCACATCAATTTTCATCTATTATCATCTATAACAATCTTCCGCTAGAAGGATCTCTAACATTTTATGACATCACCGTTAATTTTTTTTATAAAAAAAACTTAGCCAGAGCATACATCGTTGAAAGCAAGTTTGCAAATCTTTTACCAATTTTAAATTACAAAGCACATCCAGTTTTAACTGGAAGGAAGGGTCACATGATTTTGCACGTACTATCAAAAATGAAGACCAAGGATTATTCTATCAATTCCAAAAAAAGTCATGTTCAGATCTCTCACAGTTAATTTTATCTTGATTTTCTTAAACGTGATGTCACTTGACCCATGATGACGTCACCATGAAGTCACTTTATTTTTTCATCTATAACTTACCCCGGTCTAGGTACAAACCAACTTTCAACCCAATTGGACCTGTAGTTCTGTACACATAGGCCTTCAAAATATTCACCTACATGTATAATATGATGTCACGTGACACGCGATGACCTCATGATGACGTCAATGTTCGACATATCTGCATGTGTTGGTCTCTAAGTGTGTGCCAAGTATAAAGGCAATCAGATTGATTTTAGTGCCCAAAGTGCCGGAAACAAACAAATGACAGAAAAAGAAAGAAAAAGAAGAGAAAAAAATTCTCAACGAAAACAAAGGCTGTTTCGTCATGTTTGCCGATACAGCCAATAATGCAATCCTCTCTTCCAAAGGTTTCTATAACTTCCAAAAGCTGCATAGTAATTTATTGTTTAGAAACACAAATTAGAAATACTGGTATTCACAGCACGTCAGTTTTGTGTTGTAGGAGACTAGGCATACTTTGTTTTAAAGAAATAATTGAACTCCTTTTACAACTACATTTTTGATTTCCACAAAGCCACAATTTTCAAATGTAAACAAAAAATAAGTCTCAACACTCTAGATCATTACATGTACAATGTATCTGTAAATTAAACTGTACATAAAACCATAGAACTCACAGTTGTTTCCATGTAAAAATCAAAAGAAATGTATTACATTTGTACAGAGATTGTAATGGTATTAAACACACTGTATCATCCATGCTGTTATTTTGTGTGTTTCCTTTGTTATCACAATACTTGCTTTCTATGGGTTCCCCCTGAATTAAGTGCATTTGTAACACTGATAACAGAATTAAAGAAAGATCTCTAAGAACTTACCTTTCTGTAACATTGTTATTAGTTAAAAGTTTTTTTCTTAAAAAATAGTACTTTTTCTGAATCCATTTCTGAAAATTACAGCAAAAGCAAATTATTGTATATTCCCTTTAACACACCCTTGCTACCTGAAATCTTTAAAGCTGAAATATCCCAACATTGATAAAACAATTTATTCCACTCAATTTTCTGACCGAAAAGGAAGGAGGTGGAGGATGTTAGAGCTGACGTTCGATAAAATATTAAGTAGTGTTTGGTGTATTGAAATATATATTGGTCATGGGGGCGGGGCTTGCACAACTACCTCCTGAAGATGGGTACACGTAGGTGAAGGAAAACTTGCATATTCTGCACAAACCCCGCCTTCCCTGGTGTTCAGTCATTCTTAAATGTTACAGGATATGTGTGAAATGGGAACCATTGAAATAGAGGAACCATCATATTTTTGTGGTGTAGCTGGGGGGGGGGGGTACTTTCTGTAAATAGCGCCCTCTTTGGTTCATGCACAGAGGAGTTTAATGAGTTGACAGAGCTACGGGTTATGACAAACTGGTTAAGTAACCAACTGAAGTCAATCAACTTTCACATTACGAAAGTGAAGTACTCCTTTCAACTGAAGTCAATCAACTGTCACAAAACGAAAGTGAAGCATTCCTTTGGCAGGCCCAGCTGCACTAACAAGTTCCCCTTGTTTAGGAGATCGACTTAATATTTTTAATAGTGAAAGTTTTTTTCTCAACATGCTATCAGTTTTTAAAGCAAGTTTTGTGAGAAAATCAACTTTAAGAGCTCCCAACAACGAAACTTCTGGTTCCTGGTTTAGAAATCAAACGGGACGTCCCCATCATCATGTGATTCAAATAACCATCATTCAATTTTCATGTAGGCCTTATGCAAAATTCTGATGCCTCATAGACAAACGTAAATCGGGTACCGCAGTAAAAAGGTTCACAAAAGGCAAATGGTATGCGATTAACTTCATTTTTCCACAAATGGTTACTTATGAACATGTCATTCTTACAAGGTTAAAAAAGTTCCAAACTTCAAGTTAGTTTGGAAAAAAACATTGGCTCTTTTGCATTATTGCAGTTGTTTTTACTCACCCTGTAGGAGAACTTGGAAGCTTCAGCTGGATAAAAACTAATGTGATGATCTCATTAAGTAGCCATTAATTTCACATGGTGATGCATTTTGTATTAGTCATACATTGTAGTTCGACACAGTTGCTAGTGCAACTGCAGTCTAATTGTATTCATTGTGATACTTTATGCGCGATGATCATACATCCATTAACCCTCCTGCTGTCTAAATAGTCACAAGCAGTCAACAAAAATGAATCCACTTCTCCTGTGCCTTTTACACAGGCTAGCCACATACAGTCATATCGTATTTCAAGCAAGCACTGTGCCAGTCAAATTCAGACAGTAGACAAAAGCAGACAAGTGGTAGGCACAACTGGCTTATCAATCAGCTACAGTCAAAGCATAGCTGTACCAAGTTTAATACATAAACAGTCACAGCCAGTCAATCCTGCTTTACTATGTAGGCTGGGAGCTCTTAACTGTTGAAAACAGTCACTTGATTGATTTTGACTGAAAGGACAGCATGACACAGAATGTATGTTTGCATAGGAGGGTTAATGTGATACTTTATGGGCTTGAGCAATGATCATTCATCCATTAATTAAAGTCCAACTGCAATCAGTTTATGTACATGTAGGTCTTCATTTTTCATAGTTTGGTTTTGGTCTCTGTGTTGGTCTAAAGGATTTCAACGTATCGGTCTAAAAGGTAAAATTCTTGGACTTGGAAGTACAGCTCTTGGTCTTGGACGCAGAGTTGGCAGTCTTCATGACTTGGGGTTAAATGATTAAAACTGTTGCGAGATTTGTAGAATGCCTTGAAAGTGGTCCAATATTTTTCTAGAGCCCGAAGTTTTTCTTCAATGCCTTTTTTATAGTCACACTTTTGGGAAGAAGAACAAAAGAAAAGTCTCGATTTACACCATACACAAACATGTATGTCTGTGTGTGTGTTATGTTTTGGTTAGGTTAACTCTTGTCAGCACGATAACTTGAGAAATACTTTACTTAGGAACTTGAAATTTGGAGGAATTGTGGAGTGGGAGGAATTTCATAGCTCGGTAAAATCTGGACTTTTCCATTTCACGCAGCTTTGCCTCCTGAAACAGAAAAGTCCAGATATTACCTTGTGATAATATTCCTCCCATTCCACGCTGAGTCACTCAATATTTGTATAATAATACCCCCATGAAAGATGTGTGCTTCACAATATGGGATCTGCAGCAAAAACTACTGAACCGAATCAGGAGATCATGGTATCATATTTCTTCTAAGAAGATTCTCCATCCATTGGTACAGGTGGTTTGAGTCTCAAGGTAGTGGAAGTATGCCATTGGGGGCCACCCTGTATAGTAGACTGTGGACTGGCAATTCTCAAGAGTCAGTTTGTGGTCTGTGGTGGGCATGTCTAACTAGAATCAATGAATGGAGGCTGGTGACCTGAGCTGTTAATCAAAAATTGTTGCATAAGGCTACCTCCGCGAAGGGGCCATGTACAGTAGTTCTACAATATTTAATGAAAACAGACTTTATTGATCAGTGATCCCAATTTGGTTAAATTGTTGACCAACTTATTTCATGAACTTGCACAATACAGAAGTTCAAAGTGAAAGGCCTAGCTGTAATTTAAATATTTATCTGAATGCTAACATGTGAATTTATATGTAAATTACGAGGTATCGGTTTTGAGACAACTTTTTGTGATAAAAAACAAAAATCAATTCTCAGAGCACACAAATACAAAACCAAGAGAAGCCACATGTTTAAAAATTTTTATATACAACATAATCAGGCTGAAAGTTGCTTGTCAGTTTTGATTTGGCATTTGGTCATTTTAAGTAAAGCACTCTATGTTCAAGTTAACTTTGTACAGGGAAATTGACCGCAAGTATGTCAGTTTCGATGTGATGCGCCAATGAAAGTATTTAAATGGAAAATTTGATCGTCAAGATCATTTTGCATCTTCTCACCAGCCTCATCACAGTACATCACTGTTCCAAAGTCCGAACTCAACAATGCATGATGTTCACTGCACCTTGAGCCTGTAACGCTTATGCACTCTCTCCGTTTCAAGTCAACCAGCAGTCAAACTTGACATCAGTTCTCATCCCAGGCGGTCCAGTTAACTGGAGCTGTCAGATCTCGATGTAAAATTGGTCGCACGTTTTATGGACAGCCCTTGCTGTTGCCTACTCCATAACATGATCGGGTGACAACTTGCATCGCATTAGCTGTCAAAAATTGACTGAAAAGGACAAATAGTTCTTGTAGGCCTACAGACTCCAATTACTTTTTCCTATTGAATTGGAAGCAGTGAAATATAGAACACTGGCTACAAACTCCTTGGTGGGAAACTATCTGAAACGGAACTTCTATTTTAGAT